AAAAACATCACTTTTTTCATCGGAAAATGAGGATTACTTCCATGGCAGAAAGCGGGCATCATTTCGAACAAAACCATAATCAACGACATATCAGCGCCCTCGATCACTTCTTCTAAAATGTTATGATCATAGGTGGGAATCATATTACATTTATTTAAAATATGATAAAGCGCTGCTAGAACTTACAAAAAAATCATAGCAAACTGACCAATTTCTACAATAAAATCTTTTCTTAGTGCAGCGTATCGAGATTTCTTATCTACGGGAACAACGAGTTCAAATAAATCTAATCGTCGTATTGACTCGACCATATGATATAATGCACTTAATGCTACACGCAATGCTTCGTTATCAGCCATCGTAGCACTTCGCCGATTACTCCTCCTTTCCACTACAAAATAGCTTACTTATTGGAAGGGACCGAATTTGTTATCAGATATCATTCTTATGCTAATCTTACGAATAAAAAAAGCGTTTGGAATTCAAAAATGATGGAAATTACAGAGAAGGGTACCTTAAATTATATCATTCTTTACACAAAGTAATCAACAATAATAACAGATTGCTGATATTTTTTAGCTAAAATTTTTTGAAGGTTCTAAATTTTTAAAGTTGAAAATCATGGCTGAAACAATTAGTGCTAATGCAGATTGGTAATTAGTTTATTTCCAAAAACGATGATGAAAAATATCCATAAAGATGGAAAACCGAACCAACACTCTCTGAAAGATCAGCGTTGGATGCTGAGCGGCTGTTTGATACCGAAGATGAACGACTAGACTGAGCTCCAACTGGTCCACCATCCCAAATATCACGGATTTCAGTCAAAAGCAGCTTACATAACGCCTGAAAACAAGAAAAAAATATAATATAAATAATCAGTCCCTCTTTCCGCAAGAATTTTCGGACAATTCCATGTTGCAGAAATATATTTAAATATTTTCTACCTGATAAGCTCCAGCTTCATATACTTTATAGGCATTGAAAACTCCCTCTGCTAGACACTTTTCTTTGCAGTACCGTATTCCTAAATCATTGTCAGCTTCTCTTTCATTATTACCCTTGAAGGCGCCATCAATAGTGATATCTCTGTCATCGACAAAATCCATATAAGCACCCTACAATGCTAAAAATAATAAACATATGTTGCTACATCTAAAACTATCCTTAGATCATTTACTGTTATTAAAAGTAAGAATACTTCATTTGAAAGATAGTGCAATCTCAGATGAACCTAAAGTAAGTCATGACGATAAACTCCATGCAAACAATTTCATCCATAATTGAAGATGCCTTATTGGCAGTTAGCTTTTAATACAAACCTGCAATATATAAAGTATGGATCGTGCAGCATTTAATCGTATGCTTGGTTCGACTCGTTCCAACTCTTCCAGCAAATTCAACAGAACATTCTTTTGCTGATTTTCCGTAAGCTTTGACCATTTATAATCGAACTATGAATGACCCACAGTTTTTAGTGGATTAAAGAGAATGAAGTAAAATCATTCCACAAACACAAAATTTTAATATTGCTGTCAGCAAAAATAATGAAACTCGTGCTACTTATGCAAGATACCAAACCAATCACAAATAACAATTTATAAATAAATAACCAAATAAATCACCTTTTTAGATTCTACAAAATCACGGTAAGCATGCATGTTCAGTGCCCAATCTTCTAATTCGCTATAGGTGTACAGCTCAGCCAGTTCTGCTGCATGTGTATCACAATCGGAGTAAACAAATTCAAAATCATTCATTTCATTTCGCGTCTAAATACATCCGTAATAAAAAATTAGAAGAAAGACAAGAAAACAGCTGTTGCTAAATTATTTAAAACGTGAAACAGTAAAGTATATAAAGAACTGCATATATTAACAAATACTTCAGCATTTGAATGCTAACTTCAGTAGTAATGTAGGATGTAGCATTTTATGCTGTGTACCGCTGTATTCTAGCATTAAATGCGGCACTAAAGCAATATACATCATTCAAAATTTCCAAAAGATTTCGAGCTAGATAAAATTTCCAACGTCAAATACCGTTTAGAAAAGAAAGGCAGAGAAAGACGAATACCGAAAAATCATTGCTTAATGGTCTTGGTTTGCTTGATATTTTTTTGAGTTTCGGCAATTGTGCCGAACGTCTCTGTGCAAGCGCTGATTCGCAAATGTCCGTTCGATTTTCTACAGTATCATTTTCCACGCGCTCTATATGTTCGTTATTAAGTTTCAAGACGTTTGAGCCGTATACTGCAAAGTAATATGCTAAAAATTCAGCAATAAAATGTACTATTCTTAATTTTAATTATTTGCAAAACTACTTGATTATTTTACATATTATTTCAATCCACATTATTTGTTGTAAGCTATAGTTCTCTATCTAAGCTATATAAGTTATCATCATTCATGACCTACACAATAAAGTCAATTTTTGACATTTAATAGTAGCATATCTTGCAGCTTAGCAATCAATAAAACAACTGAGCTAACCGTCATCAGCAAAATTTGGTCGTACACGTCGCAATATTTCCGGTTTTACCGATCCTGAAATAAGGCATATAATATTTAGATTTGCTTAGGTATAATTCTAAATCAAAATTATATGGATTTCATGAGTATATATTAAAATTATATGGATTTCATAATTATTCCGTAGCAAAAGTAATAAACATTAAATTTTTAAAGTCAAATAAAGAGAAGTAATAACCACAATCTAATTGTTGTAAGCTATAGTTCTCTATAGCTTTCAAAATGACATACGAAAACAAAAAATACTCAATTAGGTTTCATTAAAGATATTCTTATCACTGCTATAATTGCCATCTAAAAATAACTTCATAATAAATAACGTTTCTATAACATATGTATTAATATTTCTGTATCATTAAACTGTTAAAAATAATGGAATGATTCACCATAATCTTTAAATGATATTTGCCTCTACTTTAAATTAGCCTTGATTAACGTTAAATGCTTATCATTTAAGTTATGATTTATCTAAATTTATATTCACTTACTATCATTTCCCTTTATTTGACTTTAACTATTTAATCTATTTATCACTTCCACTACAGAATAATTATGAAATTCATATGATCTTAATATCAAAAAACTTCAACACTTAAAAAAAAAACATTGAAAAATGAGATAAAAAAGAAGCCAAACCCAGAGAGTAAGAAAACCGCAGGAATGAGCACAAACCTTGCGTATTCATCGATCCTATACTTTTGATCACGTGAGATATTACACTCTTCCTCTTCTTCCGGATGATCTTCTGGTAATGATACAGTACTGGCGCTGATTAGCACTTTATGAACATTCAATCCTATACATCTCATCTGCTAACTTATCATTGTCTGTATTTTACCGCACATTCCTGTATCAGTTTTTTTAATTTATGTGCAAATATTGGTATAAAAAAGCCAAAGGGCTTTTTTATACCAATATTTGCACATAAATTATGGCAAAATTGTAAAATTTTAAAAATTGTAGAATGTAAACTACAGATAAAAAACAGTAACACGTAAAATATAAAGAAAAATTAGGAATTTTCATGCATATATGTATAAAAATTAGCATGAAAGACTGAAAGCATAAAATATGCATGCATAATGAGATATACGTAACGCATAAATATATCTAAAGAGTACTTTCGATATCAGTTTTCACATTTACATGAAAATACTAATGTAAATTTCTTCAAGGTTGAACAAATTAATAAACAATATAAATTAGTGGTGAAACAGAGAAAAAAGACAAATAAGAGAAATAAATAATCATCGAATCGATGGAAAAAATATACCAGTGATTTGAACTAAAGAAGGATGCAAAATGAAAATGATGAAACTCCTTACCAAATCACAGGTCAGTGGAAATAGATGAAGTGTACTTCAATTAGATAAAAACTTATAGAGAGATAAATTAGCTGTGAGAAAAAAAGAGTCGTTCAATTCAGCTAATTTGATCTAGTGATTAGCAAACTAAGAAAAAAAACTTACTTTGATCAATTAGCAAGATCTCGAATACATCTCTCTTGGAACTTTAACAGTGACCGGTTCTCCAATCGTACTAGGAACAGATTTAATTAAACTACGAACTTAAGACTAACTGAGACCAAATCACACACACGAAAATCTTCACACGATTAATCGCCTATTGGACCGTTCGACCGCATTATATCTCGCTTCTTCGTGGCAGACGGTGGCTGACATTGCAGTTTTTGTTGAGGGATTATGGTTTATCTAGAAAGTGAGTTGAGCTGCTCAACAAAACCATACCATTAGCTTTATTTGTTCAGTTTCATTCCCATACTTTTGAAAAGTTATTACCACGAAGCTCATTGTGATTCATGATTTTGTATATTTCAACGTTGTTTGTCTGGTTCATTGGTTCGTCAGTTTGTTCTAGATTTGATTTAATGGAACTAGCCATTCAAAAGTTCAATTAATTAAATTATTATCCTGTTATTTAATTCCTTTGCTGTACAATCAATTATCTGCAATAGTAGTTTGACTTTTTAAAGCTTCATAAACTGTGAAATTCAGGCTGGATCAAGTGGCAATATGTCACTTTTGATCTTTAGATTTCGATCTTATGGACTATTTGTAGCAATGTTTACTATTATTAAGCTGAAACGGTAAAATTTTAGGAAGGCAACCTGTTAGGCACAAAAAATGCTTGTGAGAGCTGATTGGTTTCACTTTCTATGAGCAATTTCTGGATTAGTGACGAGGTACGTCTTTTCTTCCATGTGTTTTTTAACATTCTCCATTTCTCCTTCCTGTGTCAGAGATGCATGGGAGATAGTATGGGGATGATAACACGATTAGGCACAAAAATAAGGACAGTACTGAATAGTGGAATAATACTAAGCTGGCTATGTAATGATTATAATGTTACATGTAAAAATAGTATAAGAAACAGTTTAGTATTTTCGGAACCGAACATACCAACGCGAAGAGATTTGATATCATTGAAGCACAAGCAAGTGGATAATTTGGCGGGAGCCAGAAGGATTATTTCTATTATCATAGATTGAACAGAATGGTGTATAGATAAGAGTCAGAACTCTTAAGTTGCATACCAATAATCGGGATCATTTAAGAGGTTGTATCGTTTGAAGATAGGAAAAAATAACAACTGATTTGGTGATTTGGCTTTCCAGTGCATGGAATATATATACTAATAAATAGATTATCATGTATATACTGTGGATCAAAAAGCCATATTCTGAGAGGTTTTCATAAATATTAAAAAAGTGGTTAGGATATGCCCGCATGTTCTCAGTGGACAACAGGATTCTGCTTTAGTTAGCGGAACTTTAGGAAAAGCTTTCTCTTTTTTATAGCAAAGTGAAACAACCTGTTTAATATCACCCAACCAATCCAGAACGCTCCTATCAACATTTAATCGGTGTCGAAGAATAGAAAGAACTGAAATCGAATTAGAAACAAGAGTAATGATGGGTGATGATGACATAATCGTTTCCACCTCCAATATTTCGGCTTCCAGTACTGCACCAGCAGTGGTGCATGCAGAACAGAGTAACCGTGCAGCATTAAAATATCGCGGTATGTTTACCTGTTTATTCGTGAATTTTATTTAACTTTTCCTTTTGCTAATTTTATCGAGCCATGTAGTTATCTGTTTTTAGCATAAATTATTCGTTATTTTAATTTATTTAAAAAATTATCATATACTGTATATTCTAGGTACAAGTGGAAGTAGCTTCATTGCATTAACTGACAGTGAAGAAATAACCGTCGATGAAGCTTCACCGCCAATGGAAAGGTTTTTAATTTAAGCCTTGCAGCGAATGTCATTTGAATCTGGAAGAAATCGTGGGGCAATGAAAACAATTAATTTGAATTTATTTCTATACATACCAGATTGCTGAGGGACTCGGAATAGTATATTTTTCTTGTGGCAGTATAATTTGAAGAAGGTCGTGATGTTAGTTATTTATTTCGATCTCTCTAGAGATAGGCTGTCCATAAAACAATGTATATATATATGAAAAACTTTTTACAGCCGATATGGTGATTTTCATACAATAGATTGGCAAAGAGATCTGGCGCGGGACAGATTACGCCATAAGTTTATCGTAAAAAGGTCGAAAACTCCTTTTGGTAAACTATGTGGTCTATGGGATGCGGGAAGTGGTTGGGCATGTGTGTTGATGGTCGGTCTTGCTGCTGGTACCATTGCTGGTATTATTGATATTGGAGCGCGTTGGATGAGTGATTTAAAGGTAAGATCTCTCTGAAAATTATTTTTTTTTCCAGAAAACAGTCTGAATTCGAATAAAATAAATAAAGTGGATAAGGACTTTGCTTCAGTGATGTACGGAAAAAATGAAAATAGAATGTTCAATGCTTTGGAATTATTTTCAATTTTTTTTCCTCTAGTATTCTGGTTTTTTTAGGATGGTGTATGTGCGGATCGATTTTGGCTTGATCGTGAGCATTGTTGTTGGTCAGCAAATGATAGTGTTTATAAAGATGCTGATTGTTCGGCATGGACATCCTGGCCTGAAATGATGCAGCTTTATGAGCGAAATTTCTTTTACTACGTGATGGAATTATTCTTTTATTGTGGCTGGAGCATGCTGATGACAGGAGTAACTGTAGCTTTGGTTAAGGCACGGTTTTGCAATCACACTAGTAATTCAGATTAACAAACTTTTTTTGTATGTGCGTGAATCCTCGTAGTTTTCATTTTTATTGAGCGAGATTAATTTTTGCACGTTTTGCCCAAAAAAAAAAATTAGAAGGGGAAATGAAACATATTAAAGGAAACATCTTATCTTTCTAAAAAACTAATAAATCTTAAAATCTATTTGTGCAAAATTTCTGTCTCTAGGTATTCGCTCCGTATGCTTGCGGTTCGGGCATACCTGAGATCAAATGCATTCTATCCGGTTTTATCATTAGAGGTTATTTGGGTAAATGGACTTTCATTATTAAATCTGTTGGCTTGATTTTGGCATCTGCATCTGGTTAGTAATATTTCCGAATTTTTTTCAGTATTAAAACAAGAGAGAGCTACTAATGATATTCCAAGTTAAGTTTTTGGATAAGATAATGGATTCTGTGACATTTCAGGTCTGAATTTGGGAAAAGAAGGTCCTATGGTACATTTAGCCTGTTGCATAGGAAATATTTTCTCTTATCTCTTTCCAAAATATGGCTCAAATGAAGCCAAAAAACGTGAAATACTAAGTGCTTCTGCTGCAGCCGGTGTTTCCGTTGCATTCGGTGCTCCTATAGGAGGAGTTTTATTTAGGTAATTTTGAAGCTCTGTAAAAATTTTCCAAATGGATCATAATATCATGGACAAACAGTGCGTCGATGTTGTGTTTCAGTTACTTTTAACAAGCTTATGAGAATCATTAGATTGATTTACAGATACCTTTTATCAAATATTTATTTTATATTTTGTTCATAAGTTAATGGAAGGAGAACAGGAAGAAATAGTCTCCTTCCAATAGTCCAGGAACTTTAAACATGAACTGAAGATCGATGTAACTATCAGTTATATTTGCAGTTTGGAAGAGGCAAGTTATTATTTTCCTTTGAAAACTATGTGGCGTTCGTTCTTTTGTGCACTTATTGCTGGAATTATCTTACGAATAATGAATCCATTTGGAAGTGATCAAGTATGCACAAATTATTTGTGTTGACTATTTCAGGATTCAAGATTAAGTAATGCATTCTGTGACGTAGCCAGATTTGTTTTTCGTATTTAATAATGAACAGAGACTTCGTGCAGTTTGTATCTTTTTTTGTAGAAAACTTTTCAATAATTTCTTTTAAATAATTTATCGCTTTATCTGGTATGATTTAGATTACATTCAGTATTCTTTTTTGTTTATGGTAAGAATTTTGTTCACATGTTTTGTTTAAATAGGTATTATGCATTTTAGATGTCACATACGTTTGGTAAATTTTGGATGTATTTAGATGCGGAATTGTGTTAAAATCGGAAATTTCAGACTTCTTTGTTCCACGTTGATTACAGTATGAAGTGGACATTTGTTGAACTTATTCCATTTGCCGGTCTTGGATTGTTTGGAGGTATTATTGGAAGTTTGTTTATATGGTGAGCCTTTTTTAAATGAATTCCGATGCAGTAATTTTTCTAGATTTTGGTGATGATATACTATGACTGATTATGCAAAGCAAATCTTGATCTTTTTTTCTAAAATTTTGTTTCCCATTTTTTGATAGTAAACTTTTAGTTGAAATTACACTTTCTGTTTAAAGGGCGAACATAAAATGGTGTCGATTTCGAAAGGCGAATAAGACTTTGGGTAATAATCCAGTAAAGGAGGTCCTTGTTGTGACACTTATCACAGCGTTTGTTAGTTATTTTAATCCATATACCCGTCGAAGTTCATCGTCACTGATAAGACAAGTTGGTTTTGCTTTCATTGTTTTGTACTCGACAATTCCGAGTGCTTCTGATATCGTTTTGCTTCACAAGCATTTGTAGCTACAGTGGTAATAAGCATGTAAAATTAAGCAAATTTAAAGAACGAAATAATGTTATAAAAACACTGGTTGAGAATAAGATAAAATAATGTAATTTTAAAATAGAGAAAATATTGAGGAAATATAAAATAAATTCAGTCTCGCTCTTTATGGCTATAACAGGTGAAATTTTTGCATCAAACAAAAGTGTAATTCAGCAGTGTCCCTGACTATAGGTGAATAATAAATGGAATCAATTCTTTTAAATTCATTCTAATTACTGGTTTTTTCCTAAAGGAAATGGAACATGTTTTCTTTCTCTGCCTTCATTTGGTATTGTCAATTCATCCTGTTTTTTACGAATATATTAAACATTTCATTTTTCATAATTCGATGAATTATAGCTCTTCGATCGTTGCGGTCCCGAAGATTTTATGATGGACCTTTGTGATTATCAAAATAAAACATTCTCTTTTGATAAAGTGGATGATAATTATCACACTGGAGAATTGGGAGCAGGAGTGCACGTGAGTTTGAAGTTTATTTATATCAAGCGCTACATCATGAAAGACTTTAGAGTTGTAATTTTAATCATTTTGCTACAATGTCTAATGCTTCACTATAAATGTTATCTGATGAAGATAATATTTATAGTGAAGCATAAATTAAAAAAATGAAAAAAAAGAAGTGTGAAGCTATTCTATTTAACTTCCTTGTTCCACAACGTTGTGGTGCGAAAGCAGCTTTAGAAAAAATCTTTCATATATTCATCATCATATAAAATATTAGTCCGATTTTTGTTTTTAGAGCGCATTTATCGATCTTATTTTGGCGCTAATAATAAAATTGGTACTGACGATATTCACATTTGGCATCAAAGTTCCTGCTGGTCTATTCGTACCAAGTCTTGCAATGGGTGCTATTGCTGGGCGTTTATTGGGTATCACTGTGGAAGGCATAGCTTCATCTCTGCAGGTATGTTGAAAGTTTGTTAATTACTTTTGTTGCGCGGATTATTTTTTAATGGGGGGTATATATTCTAAGGTTTTTGAGATTCGTTTCACATTGCAACATTGCAGCAGACAGTGATCGTCATTCCGAAGCTTAGGAATTTTTGCATGTCTATGTTAAACACAAGAGAACGGCAGTGTGCATAGAGTTCACTGTCGAAAAAAACTAGCACTAACTTTATAAGCTTATATTTATTTAAATATCGGAACAAATGGTACTGAATTATATATATATATATATATATATATATATATAATGTCATATTTCAGAAGAATGCTGAAATACACAATACCATTTGGGCTTGCCAGGTTGGTAAGGATTGTGTTATGCCTGGACTTTATGCAATGGTTGGTGCTGCTGCCGTCCTTGGTGGAGTTACAAGGTAGATTGCATTTCTAAATTATCTGAAAAGATATTGAAACATTTAATAAGGCATATTCTTGTTGAAGAAACAAAGAGACAAATTATATAAAAAAAGGAAAAGAAAAAAAATTAAAAAAAGGAAAAATCCATAAAAATAAACTGATCATAAATTTTTATATTTAATTTGCAACTTGAAAACTGATTTCTATTTTAGTATTATTTTTTTAAGGGAGAATGCAATAAATTAAAGAATTTACAATTTTTTGTGTCACGCATCTTCAAATTTAAGGTTTGAAACTGAGGAGAATAATTGAGGCTACAAGGTTTTTCCCATTTCTTGCTTGCTTACGTAACTAACACTTCATTTTAAAGGATGACTGTTTCATTGGTTGTAATTATGTTTGAATTAACGGGAAGTCTTGAATTTATCGTGCCGACAATGGTTGCTACAATGTTTGCAAAGTGGATTGGTGACGCTTTCTATAAAATGGTAATTTTTACCATAAAATCAGCATTAAAATAGAGCGGCCTTGATTTTCAGCGCACATGTTTTTATTACCTGAAAGTATATATCAAATTTTGTCTACATAAAGGGAATTTAGGATGCTATGTTTTTTGTTTATCTGAGCTTTTATAATAGTTCGGATGACTGACTTCTTTATATTTGTCAATTTCCATCAGCAAATTATTGTAATTAATCAACAGAGAGAAACAAAGTATATTTCAGGGCATATATGATGCGCACATAGATTTGAATGGCTATCCATTTTTAGACAACAAAGGCGAATATCCATATTCCACTGTTGCTATACAAGTAATGAAGCCTGGACCAGGTGGAAACTTTCTGCATTTCTAGTAGGAATTTTCTTAAGAGACGTTGAGGAATTTTCTTAATAACCTAATAGACACTCCATGAGAAGCAGCTCGAATCTTTTACAGTCATATTTCAAGGATATCAGTGCTATAATTTTTGCATCGAAGAATGTGGCTCTTTCTATTTTTTTTTCATTTTCTAGCTGGTGGCACGTTGCGAGTAATCACACAGGATACGATGACAGTTGGTGATATTGAAATTTTGCTGCGTGAAACTAATTATAACGGCTTTCCAGTTGTTGTCAGTGAGGAAAATTTGTACTTAGTGGGATTCTGTCCACGGTTATTTTTTGTTTTATTTTTCAAGCATTTATTTAGATATTTTAATTGTAGAATAAGAAATACCTTTCAAGTTCTGAAGATGGACTTGTAGATATTTTAAATTGACGTTTTAGGCGTGATTTGCAACTTGCTCTTCATTCTGCTCGTAAGTCACAACCTTATGTTGTCACAAATTCAATCGTTTATTTCAAGACGGATGTACCAGAAACAGCAGACGGTATTCCGGCACCATTGCGCTTTCATAAACTCATCGATCTGGTAATTTTTTACTAGTCGAATAATAGTGAGGTGTACAAATTTTTACCAGTTTCAGTACATGAAATGCTTAAACCACTTATTTTTCTTCAATGAGATTTTGTAGCTTGTGCTTGTTGGCAAATGTCGTGGAATTGGGTTTCATTTCCGTTTTTGTTGTACTGTGTTTCTAGGCATTGGACATAAAAAGTTTTTGCTGGGAATCTTTAAGTTTCTACTTCCTGAAAAAATTTGAGATGTTTCACTTCCAATTTTCATTTACTCTTCACTGTATTTTACTCATATCGCAATACTTTTAAGATAAATCTCTATTTGAAATCTCCAAATAGATTGTCCCCTAATAGGTTACAAGAAGAAAAAAACTAGATTGAATCTTCAGGCGCCGATGACTGTAACTGATCAAACACCAATGGAAACGGTGATAGATATGTTTCGAAAGCTTGGCTTGAGACAAGTACTTGTAACACGAAATGGTCGCCTTCTCGGAATAATCACAAAGAAGGATATCCTTGATTTCATGAAAATGGGTGGTGTTGAAAATCACTCTTTCTAAGTCATTTACTGTCCTTTTATTGATGATATCCTTTACTAAAAGTTCCATTTGTAGTGTAGCTAGTCTATGATTCCCAGTTACTTTATTAACAATGTCTGCAGTGTTCGTTACCGCGGGGATTTTTCATGTATAAGCTTTTAATGTTATTTACATAGAAATACTAAGTTTTGTTTCACAAGTACTTTAATGAGTTCCGAGAAAATATGATTAATTTGTCAAGAAACGGGGTATTGATTATTGCATAAAAAAGGACGTTCATTACTTAAATTATTAAATATGCAAAATTCACTGAGAAATAGATAACAGATTATGATGTTTTTTTATTCTTTTGATGATTTTCTTCAGTCTGTGATTTTTTAAATGTAGATATTGCTTCACGATAATTTAGAAAATCATCCAAATATATTGTATTTTGTTTCATTTTTCTTAAAAACTAGTGGCACTTCTGTTATTGTGCATATTTCTAAGGAACGTTTGCGTGAATGTTCGGTCGGTGATTTGGTAAAAATATCGTTAGATTTTGGATTCGGCTTCATTTCCTTCGAGTTGTTGAGGCATTCGTCAGGAAACAAAGAAATGGGAAATAAAAATAAAAGCAGACGACGATGGAAGGAAAGGAGACCAAGGGGACGGAAATTTTCTTAGACCAAACGGATTCTAGAGGAAATTACTGGATTCTCGAGTATCATTTATCATAGTATCTTATTGATAAAGGGAAGTTATGGGATTTATTTGATGATTCTGATGGGAAGGTAAGAAAGTCATGTTGTTCATGTATTCTAGTGGGAACTGGATTTTAGTGATTATGAGTTTCTGCCGTGTGATATTTGCTTCAGTTCGTTTAAGTCTACAAGCTAGCTAGCAAAGTGAAATTGGTATTAGCCTGACCAAAACTAATTGATCAGTGATAATTTTTGTACTTTTACTGTGGATGTTTTTGTCAACGGATTCTTTTTTTAAACTTTATCGGTTCATTTTGATAGTGCTCAGTTTTCCGGAACTTTTCTTGTATTTGCTCTTAAATTCATACTTTCTACATATTATCATATGCTTTATATTGGAGTTATGTTGTAAATTTTCCAAAATCTTTTGCCATCATTAATTTTTCCTCCGTTTTTTTGCCATGAAATAAAAATTCTGTTGTGATGAAATTTGCTTTTAAAGAAATTTTGCAAGGTTAGAAGGTGATTTTTTTTCAGATACATCTTATTAAATTTTTCGTATATGTAAAAAAAAAATTATGCGATTTAGTGGTGTTTTTTATATCGATTTATATTCATGCATTTCTTAATACTGCATAAGAAAACCATGCAGGATAATTCTTATTTATTATGCTTACAAAAAAGGTAATGGACAAGTCTTTTGAGGGTTAGAATTATACAGTTCCTCCTATCGAAGTTTTTAGTGATTTTCTGTAGTGCATCATGCGTGGTCATGGTACCTCGGTAATGCCGATAACAGCTGGGTGTCGGAAAGATATTGAACGTTTACTGAAGATGTACAAAGAGAGAGAAACACTTCGATATAAACCGTTCATTGAATTGTTCAATAGGACAAAATTCGCGACAATATTTATGGGTCGTATGAGTCCTGCTGAGCTCTATGAAGTGAGTTATGTTTTCATTCTCGCAAGGTTACTTGAGATATCTTCTTTATGCCGGAAACAGCATCGTTCCGCATCTCTCTAACATTTTCCAGCTGGAAAATATATATATATATATATATATATTGTTGGATAAAACTAATAGTTTGGTCCGGTTACTCCTTTGCCAATTTTTTTGAACGATGTCATTTAGATAATTTTTTTTTAAAAGATATCAATTCATAAACCATGCTAGACATCCTTCAAAAGATATAATTGAAGCTTATAGTTATTACCAGTTATTTTTTATCAACAATAAAATAACTTGCATCATTTAAAAATGTAATAAAACTCTGCGAATTATATAAATTGTTTAATAGTACAAATTTAGTTCAGTGAAAAATTGCTTCAAATAACAATTTCATATGCCATGTCATATCGTGAACGAAAACCGGCCGAGTACGCCGAAGAATCAACAGCAGATAATGAGCCTCTATCGTTGTCAGATATACGATTCAGTAATGAAATGACTTTACAGGTTTGAAATCTGAGTTTCAGTTTTCAAATATTTGAAGATAAAGTCAGTAAGAAAATTTGAAGCTATCGAAAATTATATGATAACGATAATAAACTTGTGTCATGTGATATGTATTTTATTCTATTAAAATAAAATGTTTCTGGAAAAATGGAAGATTTCAAATGTTGTGATGACGAAAATTTTGGTTCAGCACTATGAATTTTTCTAAGTAGAGCAAATTTTTTTGTTTAGGAACGAATGTTTGGCATATACTTAACGTACGCGCTATATTTTGTACAACCAGAAAGTTACATAGCACAGGTGCGAGTTACACCTGATCAAATGTCCGATTTGATCGATTTTGTCAATGAGCGTTTGATTCCAGAACGTCATATCGATGCATTTGCTGCTCTGTTCAAGCTTATCAATGGAGGAGCATTTCGCGTATATGCTTTTGAAAAAGAAGTGATTTTTAGAAAATTGATCTTTTTGTAAAATATAACAATTTAAATTTAAATGCAATTTACGATTTACTTAGATATTTTCCAGATCATTTTAATTTTAATTATTCGTTTTTATTAAACTTTAAAATACCACTTTAACTGCAGGCTCATTTGAATATTTTATCAGAGCATAGAAATGGCATTATACTAAAGTATGTTTTAAAAAATTTCGATGTTGCTTCTTCTATGCAAGGGAGAATTTAGAAAATCGATTACAGAATGATCTACTTCTTGACATAGTGGTCATCATAGATGTTAAATCATTTTGAGAAATAACATTTAACTAGTTTTCAGCATAATCCATTGTTGCATCGACGCTTTGATCTGATGGAATTAGATGAAGGTGGTTTGGATGAAGCAGAAATACAGGAGCATAGTTTTCTGAAAGCACTCGGTGATGATATTGTACTTACACAGGCAGATATCATTTGTAAACGGTCTGTTTATGATTGGCAAAGAATTTTCATAAATAAAGTTTCAGCAAAAATTATTGACTCATTTATCACTGAATCACTTTTTCAGATATCTTGCTGCGAAAAAAAAGGCCAATCTTCCCCCTGATCTAAACATAAACTTAGTTCAAACAACAGTACTGGAAATTTATAATGAGTAAGATTTTTCCCATGTTAATTTAGTTCCGGAAAAGCCGGTAATTGCTACTTAATTTTAGTTGTTAACAAATCGTACTTCTTTGATAGTAAGTTTCTTTTGTTGATTATCGCCTTTAATTGAGTGTTAATGAAAATTTCTCTAAGTGCGGAAATGACATTTCATCTTTTCTGTTATAAAGTATAATTTATTTCTTAAAATTTTCAAGTTTACAATTTTGTAAAATGTAAGAATCCAAAGGTAACTGCAAACCAACCAACTCTCGATGCAGATCTATGTTATCTAGGTTGTTGATGACGTTCCATTAGTTTCCAGTCACCTGATTATCATGACTTATTAATAAATGAGAATTTCAACTTATACATTTTACAGCATTTTAAAAAGCACGACAGCGGAAATAGAAGCAAATTCATCACCGAAAAAAACGCCTCGTCAAAATTCGGTAAGATAATTCTTTGGATTTAGTAAATGAAATTTATATATCTTCGTTTTTTTAAAATTTATTTGATCTTAGGGTCGCTTTCGTTCAGCACTTAAAGAGAAAGCTTATAAATCACATATCGTTCACGCTCGACATCGACGATATCTTGTGGATCCGTCAGTTTGTTCAACAAACAGTGAGACAGAACAAGTGAAAAATATGGTATCTACAACACAGATTGTTTCTTTATTTATTTATTGAAAAGAAATATAATTTTGTGCTTCATTAGAGCTTAAGCACTTGCAATCATTTCGTTTGCTCCTATTGGTATTGAAATCTTTTGCTGGCATCAAAGCTCGAAAAACATCCATATGGAAACTTCGGATAAATAGAAAAGCACTGGTGGACTAAGATAATCCAAAGGATAAGCTTAATCAAGGAAGTTAAATGGTTTAAAAAGTAATGTCGTAAGGAAAAGTGTTTTAGATGTTGAAAACGTTGAAATGTTATTCAGCAGATGGATCCGAAAAACGTATGAAGGGTGAGGACATAAGTGATGTTTTATCACTTTCTGGAGAGAAACAACTAAATGAAAGCGGGTCATCTAGTGGAACAGTAAGTTATTGGTATTTATGATTCAGATAACTAACAGTTAAAACCGAAATGATATCCCTCGAACTATAAAGATTAATCAGTTTATAGCAATAGCACTAACAATCAATAGCTACGATTTATCTTTATTATTATCTAACATTTCTATATTTCAATGGTTTTATAAATTTCATGGAAGAATTTTGTAAGATGTGTGAGATGGTATGAGAGAAAAATATGATCATGGGAAAGGCGGATTGAGAAGAATGGGATTACATTAACAAAAACTGGATAATGCATGTCAGTGTCAAATTTATCTGAGTAGTATTGAGAAAATAGGAATATGAGCGATGTTTGAAAATAATATTTAGATAGAAGAGGCGGCAATTTCGGATGAGTTATTTACCAGAAAAAAAAATAATTATGCTGAATGCTCTAGTATTTCGACAGCATCAGTTAAGCAATTATAATCTGTGGAACAAAGTATTAAAACATTGAGAGGACGCAAGGAATAGAGAGGTACTAAAAATATTTAAATGATTATTTGTAAATTTGTTTCATCGGAATGTTTGAGATTGGATCAAATAAAAAGTTGGGCAAACCACCGAAAGTAACGAAGAAAGAAGCGGGCGGAAGAAAAAGAGGAAGGTATAACGAAGCCCTGTTTTATTTTTTCCCTCTCTTGCTTAAATGGTATCATTTTTGATGTTAGCAAATATTTGATTTACGATTCATTTATAACATATTAGAAGATTACTTCGCTAAATATTTTGCTTGCATCATTGAATAGAGCATTTAACAAGCAAGTTATGATCTCCCTAAATTTGAATGGTTTGGTCTAATTTATTTTTTTTCATTGACTCTGTGAATTTTCTGTCTGTGTTATATGGACACTGTTTTTTAGATCTATGTAACCTAGCAAGCACTACCGTTTATTAGTAATATCAATAGAACTAAAGATCTCTCTTGCTATGTTGATCATGATGTTAGTTTTTTAGAAATAAACTGAGTATTTCGGAAATGTCACTTGCTGAATTAACTCAAAATCTTGGGGAAGGAGCTGCAACTTTGACTCAAGAAGAAAGAGGTTGGTTTGAAAGTTATTTGTAATAACTTATAAAATTCCTTACTTTGAAATGTGTCTGATCGACGTTTATTCTAGAAATCGAGAACTCAAAGAAAGAACGGATTGCTGACCGTCTGTTGGAAAAAATCCAGAAAGCTCAAGAGAAAAATGAGTGATGACCAGCTGTGACTAAAATTCCATTTCACGATTACTTATCTTAACTTTGTTTTTATTGCTGCAATAAGTATTATATTCGACCGCTCAATCTGATGCATCTGTTCCAAAACTGGCGATTCTTCTACATTTATTTTGTCTAAATAAAGCATTAAAATTCAAAACGTTTCTTTCATCCCCATAAACTATTGCTGATATTTACTAAGCGGCCTTATTTGAAGTTTGTAAGACAAATGACTGGCTGAAAAATCAGTCGGTATTTTGGAATAACTGTTTTAATTGGATGAAAACGTATATATATTTCCAATAAGATTGTGTACTATTTCATAGCAATTGTTCCAAATTCTTAAATAAATTTGACAAATTACAAAAAGGTAGAATTTTAAGTTTCAGAAGTTAGTAGTTTGTGATCAACAGTATTAATGATACTTTTCTTTAAAGTATTACCAAAATCATCCAACAAAAAAACATTCTTATTAAACAACAGAAGCAAACCAAAAAAAAAAAAATTGTATATCACAAAAACTAAGCGCAAACAAGTCATCTTACAACCATTGCAAACATACTCCCAGCTAAAAAACTGTGGTAAATATAAGAGGATATCTCTTAACAATGGTTCTGTCTCCTCGGAGTCATGCTTTTCATCGCCTTTTGGTAAGATAAAATTCCAAACGACTAGAGACGGTTGATAGCATCGGTAAAAAATCCGCTACAGAATTTACCTCATCTTTGCAGAATCAATTCCATGAGATCTATTTTTTTTAATCTTTTCATCCTTCCCGAAAATCCCTAAGATTTTTGGGCATTAAGAAAATACAGCATAGTAATACCTAAATGTAAGATTTCTTCTTTACATATAATATTTTGTGAATTCTTAGATTAAAATTTAAAATTACATCACATTAAAGCAGTGATATTTACACTGGAATTCTTTGCAGCAGTGAGCATAAAGAAATGATAATTGAATTATATTAATGCTTTCAATTATATCACTTTCATGCTCTACTAAATGTTTTTGAATCGTAATTACTATTACTTAACTGATCGGTCAGTTAATCGTTTCTCATACTTTTAAATTGCAAACTTTTCTCTTTACTGTTTTTCATTTTGTCATATCTCCAAGCTATAATCATTGTAAAAGAAAATACTATTAATCAATAGGCTAAATATTTATGCATGTATTTGAAATCCATAAATTATTAAAATAATTTATGATAACTATGCCTTGAAATTGTTATACATCTAGCTAATCAATCATTATTAGCATTTATTATGCTCAACTATTGGTATCGTAGTATTTCATCCGCTGTCAACTTTAAAAAGTAAACAGTATTATCACAAAAATCACTATTGATAAAAGAATTATACAATGAATTTGAAAGTTCCAACTTTTATTACATAAAATAGTTTATATGTAGTTAAATTCTTAAAATACGGATTGAAAAATTAGCACAGTTTTGCGTAATTTTACGGTACAATTTAACGATGAACATATTAGGAGCATAATTCATCTGATATCATCACAATCGATTTTTATTTTCGAACAAATCAAGCAGTTAGATTAAAGTTTGATTCCATACAATACTCTTGCTTGTCCTCTTATGATCCAAATTTTAAAGCTCATTAAAATATAAAAATGGTGCGAAAGCTACCATTTAAAAGAAGCGATAGCGGAGGAGAAAAAGGAAGAAGAAAATTAAAACAAAAACGGAATTGTCTTTTACGATCAATAATTTAGCAAAAAGAGCATCTTAACAGTTTATTCAATTTGTAACTTGGAATAGCTACAATTTTTTTAAAATATTTCTTAAAATGATGATCTCACGATATTGTAAACAGCATTTTAATAATAATTTTTATAAACTCAAATTTCAATTTTTTCATTGTATTTGGTATTTTGTTTTGATAATTACTTTCAAAAGTATTCCAATTTTTTAAGAAAATGATAATTCGCATAAGACAATTCCGGACGAGATCTCGTAAATATTTGTTTAAGTAACAATATCATTAGCAGTTATTGATAATCTAATAATTACTGTTAATCTTAATTTTACAATTAATGGATTTCGTTGTCCTTCCAGGATTGTCACTGTTAATGTTATTACTTTTCTTATTGCTCTTCCATTTTTTTGCTATTCTCGCATTTATTATTATACCCGCTTGTTCAATTGTTTGATAATCTGTTAATTGTTATTGTTTTGTTTTTATTATTATCGTCTACCAAACTGTGCAACGCTTTAATGGATTTAATGGGCTGCCCTGCGGACAGTTATACGCCTTACTGAATTCAGGTAAATTCGACAGCACTCCGATAACCCGGAATACCTCGGGACTATGCTCATCAATAAGCACTTGTTGCAGTGCTGCTGCTTCCTTCTTATGGCCACACCAAAACTTAAAAAAATGAAATGATTTCACTGAACAAAAAAATGGTTTGCATGTTTTGTATAGCATAAAAGAAATTAACGGAATAAATATGGGAAACATACGTGAGCGTAAGACAGGAAGAACACCTGATCATTCGAGAAATTTTGAAATCCTGGCAAATGTGCTTCTTCGTGCCCCAATTGATTTACGTATTTCCTATAGGCCTGGAATATTATATATCATTTATTTGTATCAAAAAAATTCTTACCAATCCAATGCATGAAATCACGAATAATACTTTCACGCAATTCCAATTTTATTTCTATCATAAGACCGTTAAGTTTAATAGAGTTGGGAATATCTACCGGATAATTATAAAAAATCAATTGCTATCACCTCGTAAATAGTAAGTGATAATTTTTACCACAGTTATATACTGAATACATTTGATGATTAATTTTTTTTTCTTTTGGAATTGTGAATGTTTGAAACGTACCCTGTAAGCTTCTTTTACGCCACCATTATCAGCTATATTTTCACCTTGCGTAAGTTTACCATTAACCTAAATAAAGGAATTGAGAAGAAATGATCTAATAACTTCCATTATGAAACCGTAATTAATGTCTAATATTGGTATGAAATACATATAAATTAATTGAACTAACAAGGAAATTCCAAATTATCACAAAATCCGTTGTATTAGCATACTTGTGTATACTGATATAATGATAACAGTTTGATCACATAAGTAATTGCTTACCTTATAATCCGTATTTGGTACCACATATGAGCTGTACTGACTAATAATGCATTCTTTCCGTTTGGCAAATCCATTATATGAATCTGCATTCCACCAGTTTAATAGATTACCTTCTTTATCATATTGACTTCCTAAATATTTTTATATAAAAAATGACAAATAATTTCAATTTACTTCATTTTAAAATTGAGGATCAACTAAAAAAATAAATTTCTGAGAAATATAGGGACGAGAAAAGGTAAAGATATAATTAGATAAAACCTTGATCATCAAATCCATGCGTGACTTCATGTCCTATTACTGCACCTATCGCACCATAATTGACCATTCTGGAAAGAAAAAATTCCACCAACTCATTATTAGAAGTAAATTACGAATTGAAAAATATCTAAAACTTCTGGAACTTTACTTTCGCAAATTTAAGAAATTATATATTTAAACAACAATAATATAAAAAAAGTTCTGTAACTGAAAAAAATTAAAAAGTGAAATTTATTTTGTATTTGTAAAAAAAATTAAGAAAGAAACAAACTTTGGATAAGCGCCGCTAAAGAATGGTGGCTTGAGAATTCCTGCAGGAAATGCTAAAAAATAACACTGGTTTTTTAAAAATAAAAATATTTTTGAAACTTTCTCGAAGTATTTTCAAATTAAGATGTAAATTAACACAAATTTAGTGAATATTTACTTGAATGTATTCAATGAAGTTTTAATAATTTTCAATCATCTAAATCTGGAATTGGGGGATGTTCTGAAAAAGAAATGGTTTGATTAATGGTTTGAAGTAAACGTTACTTATTGAGAATTATAAAATTTGTTAAATTAAGATTGACTTACTCAAGGCATTTTTTTCTGGCGAATAGAACGCATTGACAACAGCTGGACTTACTTCGAATTCTTTTTTATCAAATGGCTCCTTCATTCGTAAAAATTCTTTTTCTTGTGACCATACAAGTACCTTTCGCAGCAAATCGAAATATGAATCCTCCGCAGTGAAATTTAACTATAAATATTGCAATATTTTTGCTGAATAATTTATTTATCGTTAATATTTTAAATTTCTTTACTTCTTTTTAGCACAAATTGCTAATAAATAAATTAATCATTAATTACAAGGAATGAATTAATCAGAAAGATTTTATGTAGAAAATGTATATATTAAAATAAACTTTTCAATAATTCTGATATTTTTGTTGATACTATTAAATCCGTTCGAAATTATTCATAGCAAAAATAAGGCGTGAGCAAAATCAAAGAAAAAAATTTTTTCCAGATAAATTCGTACTTTTTCATAATGTTTATCGAGTGCCGTATAATTATTAATGAAATCAGGATATCCGATATTGTTAATCATACTCACTGCCTAAAATGCAACTTTTAAATTTTCGAGTTTTTGTTTAAATAAATTCTTGGTATAAATTTCGTGGTGTATTTATTTATTATTTATTTGCTTATTTATCATTATTCAAATTTTTTAGCTAGTTTTATATGGCATATTTAGTTTTTGTTTTTAAAAATAGAATAAATTTTTTTTCACAAAGGACATCACAGTTTTAATTTTCCCTAACTTATTATCATTTATTATTTGTTAACTTTATTCTTCACTTCATTGACTATATTTTTACAGTTAAATTCATACACAATTACAAATATTATCGAGAACAGATACAATTAAAAGAAACCTTTTCAATTGCAACTTTCTTCGTTTTCTCATCCATCCAATCACTTTCATCAACGAGTTCTTTGAATGCTTCTTGAAGGTTTGCAATCATTTTCTGCAAAATTTTGTATAAAATTTTTAGATTGATCATGAAAGATGCAATTAATAAAATTGCTTTGTTCTTAGCGTTTTTTGCTTTCGAGTTTGAAATCGTTACTTTTTTATTTTAATTCAAGATGATTTTTATACGATGTTTTGCTTTTTTAAGTATTAAAAGTTCTTGTGAATTATTGGAAGTTTACTCAACGATAATGTGGATATGAAGATTATGGCTGCAAATAAAGATGAAGGACGCTGCAATTTTGAAATTATTAATTTCTAAATTTGAAAGATATAGCAGAAAAAGACGGTGCAGTTGGTCGTTCATTAAATACTGAATCTGAAAAAGATTAATTGAGCATTAAAGATATTGAATATGTTCAATAAAAGAAAAGAAAAAAAACGCTGCCTAACCAATGCTTCCTTCTTATCGGTAGAATCGAAATGCTCCCGCACGTAAAGAGCCCCACCAGCTAATGGCAGTAAATTTATCGTCCCTTGGGCACATTCTTTCCAACGTGGTGATTTGGTTTGCTGACCTGTCATTACCCGTAGAAAAACCTGAAAATATTTAAAATTTTTCATATAACAGTAAAAAAATTAAAAAAATCCGTATGAGTATATTTTTAAATGATATAAAAAATAACAATGAACGAATATGCGTTGAAATTTCCATGCAATTTTTACTCCATTTAATAAATAAATAAAGGTTTAAATTCTAACTAATAACTAATGAAAAGTTTCAAATTCATCTTCTCAAGTCAATTTTGCTTGATCATTTCTTTCTATGAAGGATTTCTCGTCATATTTTAATGACATGATCTAATGTATTTATATTGATTTGATTGAAATTTCCATATTATGCTGCTGATTTCATCATTGATGTGACCTTTTGTTTTCGTTATCCCATAATATACAGAAGAAGTTATCGGGAAGGTTGGTAGTAATTAGAAAGTCACCTGTTTGATATCTTCATATCGTCCATCTAATATTTTAACCCAGGAATGCACAATTCGCCAAAAGATATAATTTGCTAACAACTGATTGCTATTTTTACTGATAAGTGATGCAATATTGTACATATAATCGACTTCACCCACAATTATTTGCGTATTATTATTAATCGAATTATGAATTGATGTTGGCGCTATTTGGTGGAAGAAATTTAGCCATTCTACCTAAAACTTTAGTAAAAAAATTACCAAAATTATTGCAGGCATGTTTATAGGCTTATCAATTGCAATTTAAATTTGGCAATTTCAGAAATAGAAATCATAGTAATTATTAAATATATGCTCAAGTTTGCTAATAACTATAACATATTCATTTAATTTCTCCAACACCAAAAGTTAAAATTACAAATTATTGTTATTTCATTCGTAAAGGATTGAATAATCTATATTGTATAGGAAATCACTTAAAAGTTTAAAATAATAGATTAAATTTTCAATAAAAATTGTCTTTAATGATTTTACAATCATTAATTTCAGAAAATAAGTTAGAATAAAATTGGAACTCTTTCTATATTTTGCGTCAATCAAAAACAATACACTCCAACCGCATATTTCATCATTTTTTAAAACTAATTTATGAACAATTAGGAAAAAATATTCAATTTTTGCATGTATTTGCTTATCTTTTATTTCTGAATTAATTTTTGAAATTGTAAAAAGTTTTCGATAACTGTGAGAACAAAAAAAGAAGGGAAACCTTTGGAAACAATGTGTACAAATCCGAAATTCGTTTGCCGTTATATAGCCGTGTGTTGTTACGTCGGTCATCTTCTGGTACTATAATCTAAAAGATTACACAATTCTTTAACCTGAAATTGCCCATATAGGTAGGATTTTTATCATCTTAGCGTGGCTTTCTCAGTACTTTTAAGCAGAACGGTATTTTTTATTTTCTTTCACATCAAACAAACCAGTCATTTTTTAACTGTAACTTCACGAATTTATTTCGTTTGAAATCATTGATAAGTGGCAGGTTATGGTTCGAATAACAGGCATAAATTAAGGTATGTTGCGAAGCAATAAAAGAATTTTTAACAGTAATTATTAATATTTATTATACTTAATCATTGAGCTGTGATATTTTCAATTTTATTTAAAGATTATCAGAAGTTATTATGATATTTTTTAATTCTCATCTTGTAATTATAACATTTTTGTCACTGTTTTGAATTTCAAAAAAATGGACTTGTTTTTGCTTTCTTTTGTTCCCTTTATTTGATAAATATTCATGTCAGTAATTATTGAAAGAATGAAACTGGTACCAAATTATTATTAGCTAATGCATTAAATCAGTAAAATTTTACTTCGGCAAATTCGATTTCAAAATCGATAATATTGTTGAGATCAGTGGTTAGTTTTGATAAGTTATAGATAACATCAGCATCATCCAACAATAATTTGATAACATCGAGTTGATATTTCTTGTAGGCATTCAAATGCTTAGCAAACATGGATGTGTTGAGGTAATAGTCACGTGAGCCACGACCTAAACCGAGTGCTCCCTGATCCAACTGAAATTTGCACATTTGATAAAGAATATAAAGAACACTTTTACTTATTCAGTTATATTTTATCACATTTATTTAAACATAAAAAAAAGAAACATTTATAAAAGTGAGTATTCAAGTTTTGAAATGCAGTTTGTAAAAATAATTCCAATAAGGTTCAAAATTTAATTAATCACATTTTCTAAATAAGTCCTATAATAAATTTTAAGATAATCAATGTAAAATTTTACTTAAAAACAAACATTCAAAAATTTTTAATTTTTTCAAATTTTTTTAATTAATAAATTACAGTCCTAAACTTCAAACCTCAATCTTTTTGTTGAAAAATATAATCAGTCTTTAACAGATTATTTAATGATTTCAGGATATTATCATCTCTAATAAGAAACAGTGCCAATTGTTCTATTCTCTTATTCTAATTGATCAATAATCGTTTCCGGTCATATCATAAATTTCAAATGTAAATAAAAGTGATTGACTGATGAAAATGACCTTGTATATTTGTTCAGTTCACTACTTTGTAATTTTTACTTTGGTAAATCCACTAAATTTTATTATCAGTGATAATGTATTGATCAATATTAATTTTATTATTTTATTAATTGGAATAAAAAGGAAAAAAGAAACAGACATATAAAATATTCCTTGTTGTATTTTTAGCATCAGCGTAAACATAAATTTGAAAAAAAATTTCGTTTCCAAAATATCGACGAGATGAAGCCAAAATATAAGTAAGATCAAACGAATTTTCATCCCATTCATTGTTATTATCCAATAATGGCCATTTAGCTAATTGCCGAAGTGACGATAATAACTGTCTGAATATAATTATTTATTTGATAAGGACCTTAAATAGCATAATTCATTAATTATTCCCATAAATTGATATGCTTTAGCATTTGATCAAGCAATATTGCTGTGTTATAGCATTATATCAGTTGAAAGATTGTAACGAGAGGATAAACTGTGCATAATCTCATTATCATGGATAAGAAGGAATGGGGTAGGACGAGGAATATCAACAAATAAATATAACTAGCCAAAGCAGATCTGATAAAATGCTGTTTCTCAAAAAAGGACCGAAAAAAGTGGAAACTCGGATGAGAAAGTTTTAAGACTTATTGAATATGTTCAGTGGCTTTAGAATTTTACGCATTAGTGATATTTCCTAATATTACTGTATATTTTTAGCAGAATAAGTTAATCTTGAAACTTCTGCTTAGGCTTACATCACAAATGTCTGAAATTAATGAAATAAGAAACATACGATGATTTGACTGATTCAAGCTTGCTAGTATTCATGCATGTCTGATAAGCAATACGTGTCATTTCAATTGATCTCGATTCTTGTGATACATCTGATTCCAACAATACTATAAAGAGTTCAATATGATCAGTTTAGGTTATATAAAATTAGTAACAAAATTAGGATTGGACCTTATGGTTAAGTTAGCACTTGGCAATACAAATCTCACATTTTAGTAACAATAACTTTATTCAAAATTTGATTTTGTTTATATGAGCAATTAAAAATCTGACCTTTAATCTTTTTCAATAATATTATATTTCAAATACGCTTCGGAAAATAATAAAAATTAAATTTTTAATATATGAACTTAAGAATCAGTATTACCTCTCATTTGTTGCCGGACACTTTCTCTAACGGATGCGAAGGTACCATAAGCAAACATGTCATCCGGTATCATATGATCGCGATTCCACTGACCACATGCATATTCGAAAAAGTTGTCACATGGATCAGCTGAGAAATTCATTGCCATTAGCTTAAATATATTTTCTTAACATATTATCAAGACATATTTATTGATAACAAATCCATAATGAACAGAAAGACAGACAAAATTATAAAAAAGTATGACAGATAACTTATCTCATGGACAAGTTTGGAAGCTATTATTGACCTTTCAGTAATCATTACCCGAAGCAAGAAGTAATCTGATGCAGTAAAAAATAGATGATTAAATTTAATCATGTTAAATCATTTACTACCTAGTATGGTTGTTAATTTTCAAAATTCACTTCAATACAAAAAAAAATTGCTGATATTCTTAAATTCTCTAATCTAAGCAATAATGATATTAACAGATTAAAATGATAGAAATAAAATGATAACAACATGATATGCTTTAATTAATGACACTCATGAATCAAAGATAAAAAATAATTATTGGAGTGCAAAAATTTAATCACATAAATTTAATTGTTTCATCCAAATCTTTTCAGAATATTAATGTTTTTTCTTTTTTTTCTGTTCAATATTAATGAACGTCACTATTAAAAAGCACAAAATTTTGTGTCAAAATTAAGCCTTAGGAGGAATTTTGTTTCAATAAATATATTTGCCAGACTAATTTTATAAATTAGAAATTAAAAAAAAATTTAACGAAATCCTCACTAGGTTATTTGCTGCTTGAATGCAACTTTTTGTCAAGCATACCCGTTTTTCAATATCCTCATAAATTATCATATTGTTGTCAATATTATTCAAATCTTTTTTCTTCGAATCTGCAAAAAATGAAAGATGGAAAACAAAAATAGCAAATATGTTGCATGCTGTGACAGTGAAAATTAAATTTGATATGCAAAAATTCATTACCATCATTAAGCGATAGTGATGCATATACATCAAAAATTGACAAGAATCACAAGATTTTCAAATTTACAATAAGCTTTAAATAATCAATTTTATGAGCAGCTTTAGTATTTTAAACAAAATTTTTTTATCCAAAGAATCTTAATTGCCATTAAACAATGTTTCACTTTGAATTTTTTGAATAATTTCCCGAATGATCAGAATTTTTCAAATGATTTTATTTTGAAACAGTTAAATATCGCTATTATTTAAAATAAATAAAACAACTGACTAGTAGTGCCATCATTTAAAGGCAAGAATAATGCCAATAATGTTATAATAGTTGTAGCCATAAGCAATGTAAGTAAAACAAGAAATTGTTCAAGTGATGTCCTTCGTCGCCACCACTGAAAAATATTGAAAAAATAATTATAAATTTAGCTTTTCATCTTTTCCCTTTTTAACTTTGAATTTAATTTTTACTCGTCTACTTTCAGCTATAAAAGTTTAAAAATGTTCTTATGCTGGATTAAGATATGAAGAAAAAAGAATAAAACCAAAAATTCGATAAAAGAAAATAGCAAAAATTAAAGAAGGAGAAAAAATTGCATCGTTAATGGACTTTGTGCTTATCGAATAGTTTTAACATTTTATTTAAAAAGAAAGAGAAAATCGGTAAAAATTTTCGTGAACAAAGAAGAATGCTTAAAGTGAATTTCAATTCATAAATATATCTTTCAATACTGTGAACATGATAAATTCAACCAATATTTTAGCACTATGCTAGTTTAACTCAAAAGTTAAAGTAAAACATGGAACTATAATCTCATCAAAATTTTTCAATATTCTTGACTTACTTATTATTGAAATTACTTCTTCAACTTTCCGTCGTATATTCGTTTTAATCCTTTTTATGTTTCAAATATTTCTTATAATTTCCTTATAATTCAATCTTTTGTGCGATTATTTTTATCATCTCAACTAGGCGATTTTTTTCGAAAACATTTAATATTCAACTAAATTCCATTAATTCATTAAATTTACCAGTTATATTCTTCTTCATTAAATGACATTATAACAAATTGTGTCATAATATCCAAATATTGTGAATTAAAAAAAACCAAATTTAAGATGAAAAATTTTTAATTTGAGTGCCGCAATTTTATTATTACTTTTACAACATTCAAAAGATGGAAAGCTTAGCATTCCACCATATTTGCAAATCTTTGCTGTGATGAATTCAACAATTATTCTACGCCAATACTCTAAATCATTGCTTAATTGTTTCAGTGAAACAAAGATTTTTCAAAACATTTAAATTAAATTGCACTTTCGATAATTTCAATCAAATTAATTACTTGATTGCTACTTATTTCGCTGAAAAATGACATTACTCTACCGGTGAGAATTATTGGGTCCTAACAGTTAAATGTTACTGGCAAACATTACAAGTGATCTCTTAAAATAATGAGAATAGTGAAGACGAAGAACTATCTAATTAGCGAGAGCTATTAACAAGGACACATATTGAACTATTCATATAGTGGTTGATTTCTCACTTCTTGCAGCCTTTACTTCCGCTTTTTATCGTATGCAAATGATCTTGGCTTAATTCAATATATGAGATGATAGATAAAGTTAAAAATTAAAACTAATGAAAGTCAGAAATACAAATAGAAAGAATTGCTAAATTCGAAATTAAAAGTTATTTTTCTATTATATATTTTTTTTTCAAGTATATTTTCGACCTATTTATATTTTTTCCAAAAATTTACTTTATATAAAAATAATACATCACAGTTTATAGTTTTATTAAGCAAAATTCATATCAAATGATATTCATACATATCTTAAAAAATCTCAAAGAAAATAACAAAGTGGAAATCTCGTGTAAATAACTTAAAATCTCGTGTAAATAAATAACTTAAAATAGTGAAGCATTAATTAATGGGGAAATTATCAATTTATTATGAGATGATTTAAAAACAATTATGTGTCTGGAATAATGTTGAAAAAAGAATAAAATGGATTATTTACCTGTAAGAGTGGTTTACCACCAGCCGTTTTGTAAGTGATTGGTGGCGTGAAATGGATGTCGTGGGTTTCAACGTGTTGCATGGGCAAAGCCATTGATAGCTGAGGAGATCCACTAAAAATAAATTACTCATCAACAAAAAAAAGAAAAAAAAATTTTTATTGAAATTGATGAAGATTAATTAACAGAGGTTTTATGCAATAGGAATGGAAAATAATTTGTGATAAGATGAACAGTAATCAGTATCAATGTTTGACTACTTCTAAGCTAAACTGAAAACAAACAAAAAGCCAACCACACAACTCACTGTTATTGAAATATGTCAATGTGATGCCACTGCAAATATTTTTTAAAAAAGACGAATGTGTAATTTTTCCATAGAAATTATTGATTGAATATTGCTACATAAAATAAGAATCATATTGTAATTGTAATGTAATATGCAATTGCTTATTTTAAATATTATCTTTAAATAACATGCTTGGTTCCGTATTGTTAGTAATAAATATGTAATAAATATTTTGAATTAATTGCATAAAGGAATCATTGATAAATAAATTATGGATGTTATCCGACTGATACATTTATAATAGCAGTGGGTTATTAGGAGAAAAACAAAATTTATTTGACGAATTTTCAAATCTTAATTGCCTCTAAACATTGAAATGTAACAACAATTGGAATGCACAGTTAAATAAAGCTTAGCGTTTAAGCATTTTAATCAAAAGCTGATGATTGCACGCCTTTAGAGAATAAAGAATCCGTTAAACAGGTTTTAAGAAAGTCAACGTTTCGTTTCAAATTAGCAGCTTAATAAAGAGAATAAATGAAAGCACAGAGGCAGAATAAATTTTTAAATAGCAGGGATGAATACAAGAAAATAATTTTAAAATTGATATTTGAAAACAAAATGTTGATAATTTCTCAATGTATTTAATTTTATTTAAGTTGTTGAAATTATCAAGATTTTAAAAAATAAACCAAAATTATATATGTTAAGGGCTCCTACATTACATTTAAAATTAAGTAATTAAGTATCACAACTAATCAATTATATTATTGAAAAAAAGCATATATATAATAGAGGCAAGAAATGAAACATGCTAGATTTCATTTACGCTTTAGTTGTATTTCTTAAAAGAAAATAAAAAATTGAAAAGTAACATTTTTTCTTATTTAAAATTAACTTTCTTGAGAAAATGGAAATTGAATAATACATTTTTTGCAATTGTGAAGTAACAGCGTACAAACACTTTCTCGAGTAACTGCCGATTGTATTATTCGGTTACCTAGTGATAAGTAATTACTTACTAAATAAACATTGATAATTTCGTCCGATAAGCCGGAATTATCTGATATAGATTAGATTAGCTAGATTGTTAACAGTGAAATAGCTATTCCTGGCTCAAAAAAGGTATCAAAAAGTGTAAAAATGAAAAGTTTTATATTATTCTCACATATTTGATTGATCAGTTCATTATTAAAACATGAACAGATTTGAACTTTGTCTGATAACCATGTTTCCAATTTATAAAAGTTCACCATTGTGACAATCACTCAAATGCGTGAGCAAATTCAAAGGAAGGTGGAAAAGAAAATATTCTTTCGTAATTTGATTTATATTGACTAAAGATTTTACAAAATAAGTGCTTTTGAATTTTTAAGGCATCATCATCACTGCATGCAAATGATCTGATTTTGAGTGATAAATTGTTTTTAAGAAAATTTCTTGATACATATCAAAGTTGATAATAGCAACACAAACATAAACTTCATCACTTTTGTCTTTTCGTTTCTTCACACTCTTGTTTTGATAAATTATTTGCCTTCATTTTTTCTCTAAATTACATTTGCATAATGAAATGGTGCAGTTTTAGATTTTAGTATAAAAATGAACCGAAAATTAATGGGAAATATTAATAAGCAGTCAGTTTCATCAAATTTTTGAAATATTTTAAATTTTTTGTAAATTACTATCAAATTTTTTCATAAATTACTGTCAAAATAGTGAGTAATTTATTATTTTCTATTCATTTTAATTATCACCATAATAACAACGTTTTTTTCTATATTTTCACTTTCATTGTTGTGTGACTGTCATTCCTTGCAATGAATCTCTTTGCTGTTATTCTTTTCTAAATATGTTAATTAGTCCTTGTTGCGGAAGCCTAAGGATAAAAATGGATTGGTCTCTCTTCCATCCTAAATAATTCATTACATGCATATGTTTGCTTGCAACAAAAATTTTATGCCAATCCCTATATGGTACATTATAGCAGTCAAAAAATAGATTGGAGTGATAATTTCGAATAATTAGATAGCATTGGCTTGATTTTAATGTAATTCAGCAAGTAGATTTTATGACTGACACTACTTGTGATGAATTGATTCGATTATATCACAGTATACAAATTGTATTTCTGTACAATTTCTCACACGTTCGAGATAAGGGAGAGAATAAACGATCAACAAAATGTTACATGAGTTAAATTTTAAATTAAAAAAGTAAAACTGCTTTTAAAATGATGATTGATGAAATACCTCGTCGGTGTAGCAACATAGGAAGCATTACTATCTTCCATCGAGATCAACTGCATTTGACTTTCATTTTCATCGTTTCGAGCCATGATATTTTGCAGGTGGTCATCAGCATTCATCACCTCAAAAACCCGCTCCTCGTACAATCCACCGTCTCAAATCATTCCTTCCGTTTTTTTGATGACTGTTCACCTTCATCCTCTTCTAAATCATTGCATACATACATACATAAGTACATGAATAAAATTCTGAATTATTCATAAAATGATCGTTCATTCTTCAACTTTCAAAAAGTTCTTTAAATTTGTAATTGAAATGATTTCAGCAAGGCAAACATATATATTGTTTTTCCTAATAAAAATAGATTTTCTGAATTTAAAATGCTCCATTACCATGTTATTGTCTTTCAAGCGGTATATTTTTTAAGTTTGATCTTATCAATTGAAACTGTTCAGGTGAAAAAAAGAAATTACATAATTACGTAAGAAAAAATCAATTCTGCTGTCATCATCAATAATATTGGTGTTTTGTACAACGTTTATATTATTTAAAGTATTGTTGTCATTTACAATTAGATATATTTTTATTAAAAAAAAATGTATTTCTTAGATTGAATTGGCATATCGAAAATGTAAATTTAACTGAGCTGAGTGTTACAGTATTGACTGTATGAAGTTAGATAATATATTAAATAATATAACTCTTCAGTTGAAGTAGGTGTTACGATATTGATTGTGTAACTCTTCAGTTAGAGTAGGTATTACGGTCTTGAATAGTGGAATAGTATAATGATTGAGTTGAGTGGTAACAGTTAGATGACAATTACAATGTTGACTATCACTGTACTGTCTGAGCCCGTCGGCCTTAACTACAAGAAAATGCAGTGACTACAAAAATATGAGAAAAATAAGTTCTAATTCATAGATAGCAAATAAGAAATGGCAAGAATGCAAACTTAGCTTCCGATGATTTATTGTCATCGGAGAGGAAGGGAAGAAAAAACATGGCAGTAAACTTGTGGAAGGTAACGATTACCACGGGTAATCGTTAAAGAATAAATTTACGCATATTTTTTATGTTTTTTGTTTTTCTCTTTTTTATCTCTTTTAATCATTTTTCCGATAAATCTGACCGATGGAAATTTGAGAAATATTATTATAATAAATAAATGAGGCTACTTGGTAAAAATGCTGCAAACAAAAATTAAAAATTAAGGTAAATCGGCTAATTAAACAGTTACTTTTTCTTTTCAACATCTGATGTTATAAGTTTTTATTTTTTGAATTACTTGAATTTTAAAAATTCTAAAAACACAAAAAATGCTAAGAATGAAGTCTTGTCTCCTTCATTAAACTAGTAATATTTGATTCATCAAATAATGAAAAAGTATTGAGAAATTCTAACAATGAATTGAAATCACCAGTAGCAAAATAAATTTTATTAAACAAAATGAATTATTGCAAAATAAAACAATGTTTAAATATCTCGAAAGTTTAATCCGCAAAATTGAATGAAAATTGAACATGAATTATACACAAGTTATTTACTTGAAATTTTAAAATTTAAAAACAAAACACTCTGAGATATTAAGTTTAGAATAGAGAAAAAAGAAGTATGCGAATTTTTACAAACCGTAAAGAAATACATTACATAGAAAGCATAAATGATAAGATCCAATATTCATTTTTTTTGGAAAAATGAAATTTTGATCAAATTATGCACGTTAGCTGCCAAGTCTGTTAGATTTACCGTCGATATTATTTTTGATATTATCAAAGTAATTTAAGTAATGTGAGCATTTCGGCGCATAAAGCATTGTATTGATATATTTTATGAAGTTCAGGTATTAAGTTATTCAAGCTACGTAGAATTAATGTATATTTAAAAGGGAAAAATCTTCATTCACAAAAATGCAGTGTTAAAGTGTGTGTATCACAGAAATTCAAAAAAATAAAAGTTGTATCGCAATATTTCATAAATTTGTTACTAATATATGTCATAATAGTTCAAAAAGAGAAAAAAAGGATGTCATAACAATCAACGGAAGAAAAAGATGAAATGCTTATAAATTACAAAGTTGAAAAGCAGTAGGTTTATCTGTTATTAAAGCTATTTAACTCAGAATTGAAAATAATTGTAACCTGGCAAAATTTACCAATGAATTTCTCTTTTTAAAGTTTATTCTAATTATTAATTATCAAAATTTCTATTTTCAAAGCAGATGGCTTATAGTCTAAAAAGTTGAAAACAAAAAGAAACAAAGTTACATTGGTAATAGAAAAGAAATAAAATTGTAAAAAAAATTTTTTTTCTCAATGCTGCTAAATATGCTGAAAACTATTGAGAAATGAATGATTCTGCTGGAATGGAATGGATAGATGGAAACTATGGTTACAGCTTAGAAGAGTCCTTTTCATTTCTCTGCCAATCACTATGACAGCATTTGAAAAGAAAAATGAAAACGAAATAATTCATTAATTCGATATGGATGAATAAATAACATAAAAAATGAATAAACGGACGAAAATTCGTCGCATGAAAAGTGTCGTGCAATTCCATTCAAGCATGCAATTTCTCACAAATATTTCAAGCCCTATTTTTTGCTTATGTTGCTGAGTGCATTATTATTATCATTGCATTTGATGGACTAAAACATTTGTCTAAAAGTAATTATCAATGAAGAAAATTTTGAATTATATCAAATTTCCAGAAAATTTCGTTAAATCATATAATAATTTAACTATGCATTCAACATTCAAATAGAAACATAACTTCATGGGAAAATTGTAAATTTTTACAAAATAAATATTTCAAATCATTCCTAAGTTTTAAGATAACAATAAAAATATTATGATATATTTCGCTTTATTCCAAGGTATTAATTATAGAAGTTTTTTTTCCAGAATTTTAAATTTTTCTTTGAAAAAAAAGATCGTCAAAACAGTAAAAATCTAAGGAAATCTCATTTCGAATAAATTAAGCAAGAAAAGTATTCAAGTGCATTACAAAGTGTTAAATGAGCAAAAACTGAGCTTTTCTTGAAATGAAATCGTTAAATTAATAAAAATTTAACTTTTTTATACAAGATCTGCAAAAATTTTTTACAAAGAAGAGATACGGAATGTAATTTATTTTATCTCTCTTCTCTTTATAACTTTCTAAATCAAATGATAACGTTACTGCAATGTAACCATATCGTAGAAACATTAAATGGTTCGCTTTAGCATTCAACTAAATAAATATTTGAAAACAAAAATAATTAACAATTACATGTCATTCATCATTATATAATGAATAACTTTTAATGCTTGAAGTTATCTAAGGGTAAGTGATGCTGTATTTTTGATTCATCTATTGACTGGAAAAGCAAAATAGAAAGACGTTGTATCAAAAAACTTAATTAAAATAATCTGAGGTAAGGAATTATATTTTCTTATATATTTGTCTTTTAAATTGTTGCTTAATTTTACAGTGATTTTTCATCATTTTAATTTCGCTTTCTTTTTTAAAATTCACCCTCGGTTATCGGTTCATTTCGACCTCTTTCCCATCATCTCTCCTTTGTTCTGCCACAAGACTTTGTTAAATTCTCAAATTTTTAAATAAAAAACAGGCAAAAAACGGATATTTGTTGGTTAAGATTCACAGCATTATGTGCCATAGAAAATAAACATTAAGGTGAAAAATGACATAGAAAAACCATTCACAGCTACACAAACAGCTAAAACCTTACTTTTGAGAAATTTTGGAGTTTTAAAGGGTTTAATTTGCATACATTTTGTTATTCAAATTGATTAGACATTTTAGAAATTTGAGAGCTTTGAAGCAATCATTTAATTTACACAGATTTTGCTTTGTTCTTTTCTAAAAATATGAATAACTTTTGTAATTCATAATTTTTAATTTCGTCGTTATCATAAATATTCCATATTGAATAAGCGAATTTTAGAGCTTCAGAAACATTTTCTACAGCATTTCATGAAAACAATAAGTTTCCGTAGAAAAAAAGAAGAGAGAGACCGGAAAAAAGAAATTTTTTTAGGAAAAAATCAAGCTATCCTTTTACGCCCTATTTCCTTAAATAATAGCAATAATAATCTCAGTAATGGTGATGAGTAACGATAGCAATAGGACAAGAGAAAAAAGAATGATTTATTCATAGCAAAGTGATTATAAAAGTGATTAAAATGGATAATTAAAAATAATCGTTCCATGAAAGGAAAGGAAACGAATTCATCAAATTGTCTTCATAAAATAACGAAGACAAATTGCTTTCATTTTTTTGAATATGGGAATTGTAATTTTGATTGTAAAATTTGTTTCGTTCCTGTTCATAATTTCATTAAATTTCGGAAATATCATAAAATTTTTAACAGATATACAAAAAAAGGGAAAATAATGATTTACTTGAAAAGAAAATATTAATCACAGTAATTTGTAATTTTTACGATTAACCAGTTAATCATCGCAAAGCATTTTGTTTTCATCCAATTTCGATTTTAATATCGAAAATATTGCATTTTTACCATTTCATACTTTCAAGCATCACTGAAATGGAACAGAAAACAATTACTAATCCTTATGAATAATAAACAGCATTTCACGCCATATGTTAGTTACGTACATTGTACTATATTATGCATTCAAGAAGTAAACACAAAATTTTCGCAAAATTTTGAATCAAAGATCACTGACATACTTTTAAAGTATATAAAATGGTATTTAAGATTGCTTGCACACTTCACTATTGGCAACAAAAAACGGTACACGGAGAAAAGTAAACAATATATTTTTTTCTTTTTTCATCTAAATGAAAAAAGAAAAAAAGAATTTGAACCATTAACTTTTCAAATGATTAAGTTAAAACGAAAAAAAGAAGTGAATGACAAAAACAACGAAAAAGTGAAACGAAACAGAAGCTATATATAGGTAGGCAGGTAAATAGGCAATTAGTTGAATGAGACTCATATACCAGCAGGGCCTATAAGGCTTCTATAGTTTAAGGCGTATACTGGGAGATGTGTATGTGTGTGTATGTGACGTGACATGCATGTATGACCTTAACATTTGCTTATTTTAATGAGAATCTAACATTTATGGGAAGACTATAAGCTCAGTGCTTATCGATTGTGCGTCAAATAAGCATTCATTTCCTTTCATCTTTCACGACTTTCTTCTCTAATGCAAGCTACTGTCCTCCACTCAATAAAAGCTGATATATTAGTTAGAAGAAAAATTTTCTCACAACTAATTCCTCTTTTTATCATACTTGTGTGGACGATTTGTCCTTAATTCATTCTCCTTTTTAAATGGAGAAGTTTTAGAATATAATAAGAGCATATTGGTTAAAATTAAGCTTGGTTTCTTGGATAATAAATTGCGATTATCGAAAAAATAGGCAACATTAGCGGTAAAATGCAAATTCAAGAATCAGATATCACTTGAAATATCCTACGAAGATCGTTTCATCAAATGTAAAAGGTAATTTTAGATTAATGATCATTAGATTTTATTGATGATTGAGACTAATAATAGTACCGAGAAAGAGTTCTATTGAATGACAAGTCACATTATTGGTAAGAATGATTCCACGATATCATTTACAGTGAATTTGTTCGTCATGCATTCTTGTATGCAACATTTTCCTGATAAGATGCACATACCGAAATTTGAATGTAATATCATTCTTCATGAAGTGTACACAGAAATTAAATGCAGGAACTTTGTAATGGAGATAAAAGAGTGATAAATTTAACATAGCGGTATTGTTTCCCATAATGTATTTGTTTATAAATGAAAGAATAAGTATGTAGAAGAGAGGCATATGATATGATAACAATCATAATAATCCATTTCTATAGAAAATAACAAAAAGAAGAAAAAACATGAAATGAAGGACAGAAAACAAATGTTGAAAGTACTGCTAAATTATGCAGAAAGAAAAAAATTTTACGAAAAGTTTTCATGTAATATTCAATAAGATGCATTAAACTTAGCTTTAAGATAGAAATAAAAGTAAAATTTATTTTGATAATACTTTCAATTCCGTATTTTTCTCTAATAGATTTCCATAAAATGTTCAATTAAAATTAAAAAATGATGGAATTTCCTTTTTTCCCATCCATAATTGTTAATAAAAAATAGAAAATACTGCACAGATAAAATGATTGGTTTATAAAAAAGATTTACCAATGAAAGGAATGTTTGGAATGAAGGAAACATCGAGAAATGAATGTGTGGATGGATAGGTTTATGGAAAGCAAGGAAGTAGGAAATTAGAGATAAGTAAATAAAAATTTTCAAATATTATATAATTTTCTTGTTCCTCTTTTTTTGTTTCCCTCTTTGAGCAAGAATATATGCATATAACAGATTATTACATTATACCAATAAAATATTCCTTTTATAGCCATTATTTAATTCACTGTTATCATTGCTGATTTATTCAAATGTTTTTAATTGTATTTATGATGTGAAGAAAAATTATAAAATATCATCAAAAAACTTAAAAATAGCTATTTGTTATTCGAAAAACATAAAACATTAAAAGATTTTTTTATTTTATGTTAGCTAGGGAATTGATTGAAAATGCCAATGAATTGAGATGAGAACATTCATTTGAAATTTGTGTCGAACATATCAGTCCATCTTACCAAAACACATTAGTATGTTAAATAAATGGTTGAACATACACACATACACACACACACATGCACATGCATGCATATACGAGTACAATGCACAGACACAAACACACACACGCACACGCAATATATGCACATGCATGCATATACAAATACAACACACACACACACACACACACACACACACACACACACACACACACACACACACACACACACACAAGCATATACGACTTACGGCCGGCTTGCTCGTTCAAAAGTAAAAAGTGACAAATTGGCTTTTTATATCGTATAACAAATGTGTGGCATCATTAAGGAAAGGAACGATTTATTGGAGCGGACAGATCGATATATCAATTTCTGCAACTTTCATCTGAAGCAGTTCTGAGTTTCAACAATTTCATTATTCATTTATCGAGAAGGTGAGCTGTAGTTTACTTTTATCAGGCTATTCTATATTCTTTGATACATGGTAGAATTCACTGATAATGCTATCTATTGAGAGAGTGAGGATTTAATATTTAATCTCAAATTTTATTATAAATCCTTCAACTATTTTCTTAACACATATTAAAATGAGAGAAAGATAACTGTTGATCCGCTGTATTATGTTATATTGTATGTTAGATATATTTATGATGAAACTAATAAAAATAAAATCAGAGCTTCCCAAATACTTAAAAAAAACCTAAGAGAAATACAGTTTTGTCACACTCAAGGAAAATAGTTTATTAAATTCATACTTTAAGTGATGATAGTAATACGCCGATATTTATTCAAAATTTCATGAGAAAAAGCTCAACTGTTGCCATCAATAGCTTAAGTCTTCTGACTTTTGATTTTTCCTCTTTCTTCATGAAATGTCTTCTGAGGAAATTCATCAAAAATATATTTCTCCGAATTCATCGCTTATCATTCCATTAGATCATTAGTTTCAGAGATCGATTGATCATATACAACATGTAGTTTGGCCATATTTGTTAATGAATGTGGCAAACATGGGACGGCCCAAGCGATCAAACCATTTTTTTCAATACTTCTCTATCACAAAATCATTTCTTGAATAGATTGATTTCTTCCTGTCTGACCTTACCAATTTCTAGTAATCGTTATACAACAAATCTTTCGGCTTTTATTGTTTCTTACAAATTTTCATCAAAAAGATTCATCAATTTTAATCTTATATGAAAAGCGAAATCGAAAAAAAGATTTACCTATGTGACAGTAAAATAAAATTTTTATGTAGCTGGAAATCGAAATTTGTAGTTTCAAAACACCCCAAAGAAATACATCATTCCCAATTCATAAGCACGGTTGAAAAGCAAACAGCAAATAGAAATATGCCATAAGGTGCTTGAAAAAATATAAAATAGCTTAAAGTGATTTGAAACAAACGTTATGTAAAGGAAGTAAAAGTCAACAAAAGATTCATGAGCTTAAAGATAATAAATGTGATTCATTGTAATTCACAGTACTTTCTGATATTTAAAGCTATCCTTCATATTTCATAATAGATTATATCTTATCAACAAACGAATAAGTATTCTTTCAATCATTTACTTGAACTTTATTTCAAAAAAAAAGTTCCTATAGATAGCTTAAAAGTATTATAAAATATGAAGAATGATTATTGAAGATAAAATGCAGTAACGCGGATTACGTAATTCTGATATATTTGGAATTAATCACTTTAACTGATCAAAACAGGAGCAATAAAAACAAAGAAGTAAGAGCTTAGGCTTAATAATAGACCCTAATAAAACGAAGCAATTAGAGAAGTTGTCGGTAAGTGTACAAACAATTTGTGAATTCTGGCCAAAAAATTCATTCAAATCATAAATTCGAAATTCTCATAATGGAATTTATGATATTTTACGAATTTCAACGAATTTATGAAATTTGACTTAATGTGCTTAAGTATTTCTGCTTATAAAATTATCTGTGTCAGTAAATAAGCGTTCTTGATCAATAATATACTAGCTCTCCAACTGCTATAAAGTTATAACTGTAAAAATGCTACAGAAGTACGTTGATCCCTCATATAACGAACGATAAAACTGAAAAACGGGTAGAATGTTATCTTCTGTTGTTCGTGTACCAAGTACACTTTTATCATCACCATTAGACACTCCAATAAAACTGGTAATAATTAAACAAAATGATGATAAAATATGTTATGTATATATGAAAACGAGTAGTATATCTGATAATAAATTGTGATGAGTAACTAATTATAATAACCATATGTTTATTCTTGTAACATTGTGACACACTCCTTAGGGATCGCGTTAATTATTGCATCCACTGCCGGGTAGCTGGAAGTAAGTTATTTCAATTTATAATTTTGCGCTAAACAAAGCAGTTTGGTTCTAACTCAGTTCTCGAACACTTTAAAATTTACATCAGTTTCTGATTCTTTTTTTTTCAATTTGATTCGTGAAGAACAAGGGAAATTATTTTTAGGATTACCTTGACAACGATTTCTGACATCCAACCAATATCAACTTATGTTGAGCCCTCGTGATAGCAACATTAATTCGTCGGCAATCGGCAAGCAATTCGCTTTTCCGATTTTTTGCTTCGCTAGTCCACACAAAACTTAACACAATAACCGACTTATCTCTACCTTGATATTGGTCAACAGTATTCACTTCAATTCCTGCTTGAACTGTGCGGCGCAGTTGTTCAACATGATAACGATAGATACTGATAACACCAAGATCACTTTCCGGCAAACCCAGCTGAAGATGATTTCATTTGTTACCTGAATATAAAAGTGCAAGAGACATATGAACCAAAAATATCTAAATCGATAAAGAACTTTTTCAGAGGATTCATTTAGTCATAAAGTATCAGTTTGAAGAGTGAAAAGGGTTGAAATAAGTGTAGCAGTATGTACCAAATCTTCCAGATACTAAGTAACCTTAACAAATAGTCTGCAAAGGTCTCCAATAAATTCCGTTTCTCCAGCATTAGAAACTTCGCCTGAGTTGCCAAAAGTCGCACAAAATGATGGATTCTTGTACGATTGAGTATCCACAAATACGATTGCATTGTTTAATAAATTCGAAATACAAAGCTTGAATGTCTCTATAATATCTTTTTTCTTGAAACTGACAAAGTGATAACTTTCACAGCAAGGACCCTATTTTTTTAAAGAAATAACTAAAAAACTATTGAGATCTGCTGAATTACGTAGAAATGTAACTGTATTCGAGATATTTCCGAATTTCATCAATTATTGTCTTAATTAGTAATTAAACGCACTAGAGTAAATGCTGTCTATAGGATCAGAAACGAAGTTAATAAGAGTTGCTTCAGCGACCATATTATTTGCACAACGAAGTTTATTTTCATAAAAGAGAACACTGCTAAGTTCCGCAATCGGCCTAAAACATATAATTAGAATTGAGCAGTTCTTTATTACAAACGTTATAAAGCCCTCGAAAACCATATAAATGGATCATATAAATACTTCAATTCACCTATTCATCCGATACTGAGAATGCAATGTAATTACAGCTGAACGATGAACGGTTAATCGTTCCAACAATGATTTCGCCATACCTTCCTGCCTGAAGTAGAACACTGTAAAACTGTCGACTGAATCATCAGTCTTAACTTTGATTTGTTTGTTCTTTTTCTTCATTATTTTACTTCCAGCAAGAGAAAGAAAATTTATATTGTCTCTCAAACACTTGAAATATGGAGCGAGCGCCACCGCTTTAATTACGCAGCTGATTTCTGGACTCAATTTCAAGATACTGATCTTTCACTCGTATGGATCAGTATTGTGAACTGTTAAATGTGCATTTACCTGGATTGCTTCGAGCAAACAAGAGGACTAAGCTGTCGATGATCACCAACAAGTACAAAAGAATCAGAAGCAGCAATAGCAGGAATGATAGTAGGTTCTAACACCAAAGACGCTTCATCAACAACTGTCATTGAAAAACGGCGATATGAAAATAGTAAATTAGTTGGTATTGCCAAACAAGTACATGCAACGATAGGCTGAAAATATCATGATCACCAGAAAAATTGACTAACGGTTGAAATTTGAGAGAGATTTTAATTATAGCAGCAAAACCATCAGCATGAAACATTATTTTCTACATCAAAAAAGATGAATTTTCACCGTTTCCTTTAGGATATACTGCATTAGTGAAACTTTATCAGTATCCGTATGTTTAGACAACTTTGATTCCAAAGTTAGATGTTGTACATTTTTTTTCATAGAAACTTGTTGTCCCAATCGTAAAATTTTAGTTTCATCAACATACTGAAACAATAATTTTTGTGAACTGAAAAGACTAAACTCAAACTGACAACAAAAAACAAAATATTTAATTTTGTCTAATCCAATAACTTTCCTCTGTGATAAAAGCATAGTTCTGGAACATTCAGAACAGCCGGTAGACTAAAAAGAAAGATATGCCAGAAAGTATATTCAGCAATTTTTCACTCACAAAAAAGAAAGTCATTAACCTCAATAAGTTTTAAAAGAAGATTGTCAATTGCAGAATGAGTGTGAGAAGTGACAAGGACAGTGCGACCCAAATAAATAAGGCAACGAATTAGCACTACCAGCGTGCTTGTTTTTCCTGTAGTCAGATTGTTTTATCAATTATATACTCTTTTCCATTATTGATTGAGTCAAGAAAATTATAAAATTGAAATTGGTTGTCTTTTCAAAACTTTGGCAACTAACAAAAAGTTGGTATTTTAAGAAAGAGGTAGTCATATTTCTGAAATTATCTGAAAAAATGTTTTTCCCAATTGTTTTACTCTCAATTTTCGTTTGCCTTCCCTGAAACTTATTATTTCACTAAGAAAGATTAGTTACCGGTCCCAGGAAATCCTTCAATAATTGCATAATCATTAGACATAAGGGATTTAACAACTGCTCGTGCTTGATCATAATTTAATTGTCGTACAATTTCTGATATGCCAATTATATTCTCTTTCTTCATTTTTGAGAATACCGGTGGCCTCATATCAATTATAAGAGATCTAATTTTTGACCTGAATAGCATATTACACTTATAAATTTTGCCTAAAGTGATGCCTCAATAAAAGACAAATGAATCATATCTTCGTTGTGAAATAAATTGAAAAGTAAAGTAATAGAAGGAAAAATTTCACAAACCATGAACCTACATACATTTTTTTATCGTCAACCATTAGCGAAACTAAATTTCCGAGATTAAGACTATATTTAAAGGAAGTTTCATGTCTCGCAAGAAAATAAGTCATTCCAACAATAAATGAACTACTGTTGCCATTTACAGCAACGCTGATAAAATTATCTGCAAAATTCATTTTGATGATGAATCTTAGTTTAATCCAAAATATCTTAAGCATCGCGGGAATGAACATAATAATTGTTAGGTACCGTTGAAGCAACATTTTTTGACTAGAAGCTTCAAGAAGTCAAAAATGTGATGGTGCAAGCAAGCCTGTTGAATACAGGCCTTCGAACTAAAAAAAAAAATCCAATCATGGAAGGCTCGAGGAATATTTCCATGTCCAACATTATCAACCTTTGTCGAAAAAAAAAATTCACATATAGAAATCTGAAAAATGTACTTGCCTTTAACAAAAATTACAGAAACCATAGCAATCATTTCACTCGCATCAGAAAGAACTAACAACATATCTCCCTTTATGAACAATTCATGTTGCTCATCCATTACTACCTCCCTGAAAATAAACAAATTTTATTATTTGCAGTAAGCCAATAGCTATTTCATATAGAATGCATTAAAGATGTTTATCTGAACATTTTAAAAAACAAGTGACATTTCTAAAAGAAAAGCAAAAATTCACCTCTGAAAAGTAACAGCAGTTCTATTCTTTTGATGGACGATGGAATCGAGAATAACTTTTATGCTTCGTGTTGGGTCCTTCCTGAAATTCATATCAATAGCTCACTGAAGTACTACCTACATATGGCTAATTCCTGTTTCCTTTTCATCTCTGTGACTGAATAAAATATTAAGGATATTAACTTTCTGCATATATTTTCCTTATCAGTTACATTTCTCTCTGTTACACATCTCCATTCCATTAGTATCCATCGAATGAACCGTTTGAAGTAATCGATATGACTTTGCTTAAGATGTTTTAGTTGATTTTGGAAGAAGATATCGGTTAAAGTTGACGCAGAACAGTATTGTAATAAGGAGCATGATAAGACCTGATTACACCATTTACAAGAATGTGTATCGAGGACTGGTCCTATAAAGACAATAATAAAATCGCCTACTGTTGTCATCAAAGTAGATGTCAACTTAAAGTTTTTCTTCAAAACCAAATTTCAAATCAAATGTGAAAAATTTCTGCGAAAATACGGTATATCAGTATTTACTAATAGCCAACGCACAAAGAACTGTTAGCACATATTAGCTGATTAATATTGAAGAACTTCGGATACAAAAAAAAATGATTAGCAGAATGGATTCTCTTTTTTTGAAGTGATGTATAAAATTCGGATGTTCAATAACCAGAAAGAACCTGGAAGGTTGTCGAACGAAGTAGCACTTATGCCCGCGGCAATTTCATTGCGCATGTGCAGGATTCCCTTGAGATCGATCGTTTTGGGAGATACAATTCGAGAAGTTTCATCCAGCAAATACAGTAATAATCCATTTTCAATAGTACTCTTTAAAAACTAATAAATAAATATCCACACACAAATACACCTTATTTCGATCAAATTTGCACCTTTTTTGTGACAACGCCGCTGAATGTCTTATTTGTCACCCCGCGTATCACGTATTACAATGTAACTGAGTATGAAACCCTCAAATTCAGACACATCAATCTGAATCAAACCCAAATTCAAATTTTCTTTATAATATCCAATGATAATAAAAATCAAGCATAACAAAAGTTCGAATATTTGGATATAGCATCAACCTGTTTTGAGGCCAAGGCAAGGCAGTAAAGCATGACTTGTGTAACATGCGCTGTATTTGCATTTGACTTGCCAGTTTTCAATTCTACAGGGACCAGTTTTTGTTCTCCATTTCTTTTTTTTACCTGAAAATCGAAACAATAAAGATTCTCTTCGAAATTATTGAAACTCCTCTACTGACTGTTCTAAAAAAGAAAAACAAAAAAGTAAAATGAATTCTTATTTCAAGAGATATAAAGCTAAATGCTATGAACCTTTTTTACAAATAAAAAAAAAAAGAAAACCTTCAAAGTGCAATCAATTTTGGCTTTGAAACCATAACATGAATTCCATATGGATTCCTCAACATCCATTACTTCCATGATTTTAGAACCTGTTTGCAAGGATTCATTTCTACCTTTTGGTGATGGCATGTGAGCTGACACCCAGCGAGTAATCGTTTTAAAGTAAAGACACATTTCGTCTTCAATCTATAAAATTCGAATTTTTTCCAGTAAATTGCTCCGAAATCCAAGGAAAATTAAAACAAACCTCCTGAGATGAAAGATTTAAAGCGAAAAGTTCTTCAGCATACTGTTCATGTAACTCTTTACGCCACAGGTCAAGTAAACTACTCTCAGCAACGTCGAATCCCGAACGTGTAACTGCAACCTGAAAATCACACCGTAAGTTGCTTGAGCAATAATTCTAATTACTATTTTCACTTTTGCGATACTTATAGTAATACACACTTGGAAAAAAGAGTCTCATACGTCACGTTAGATATATACAGTGCTTTACCCATGGCAGTGGTTCTCCCAGTGAAAAAAAGTAAGGAAGTACAACTTCTTGAATTATGCCTTGCCTACCAAAAGATAAAAACATGAAAGAAGATATTTATTTAAATAGCAGAAATTCTCTCATCCATATAGTAATACGCACTTGGAAAAGCTCGTGAACTACATTCCCTATCAACATTTCCTTGGTTGCACCGCTTTGTAATTTGAAATAATGCGAAAGTATTGCTTTTCGACGACAAGATATACCTTGCGCGATAAGTGTACACGGCACCAGTACATTACATTCTGCGATCAATACACCACTTTCCCAATTTAACAGTAAATCCTGGAAGATAATTTTATTGAAGATTAAGAGAACAAGTAACTAAGGCGTGCCAACTAATTTATGCATCATATTTTTCAAACAGTTATTTATATTTCCACGCCATATGTAAGCACTGAAATATTAATTGGCGGAAATTTAAATTCTTGATTGAAGAATTCTAAGATTACCTCTTCTCCTTTCATTTTAGCACCAATAACACGCAAGGAAGAACCAATCTTGATCGGAGTAGATGACCAAATTCCTTCTAATCTCAAGCGATAAAATTTAGATGTGTCTTCGCAAATGCAATTCAATTCACGAAATCCATCGTTACTATCATTAGACAGCGATACAACACGAACACTGATTTCACTGGAGCCGAAAGAAATGAATGAGTCTTGAATATCTGTAATGAAGCTCATTAGCTCGGACAAGCTTGATGCCTTAAACCATTGGTAAGATTAAGCGACTTTAGAACTGTTCCATAATGGAATGAAATATGATTTAATCATCTGAGCCAATACTCATAATATTTAGCTAGGAACTGAACTCAAATTAACAGCAATCAAAATTATTAGTCCACCTCGTTCTACACAACTGACTGATAAACGTTTTGGACGTTTCCGTGGAGGTATGCAATCAGAGGAGACATGTTTCGCAAATGTCGTAGTTGACACAATCGAATTACTGTTATCATGCGTAATAAATTCACCACTACTTTCCTTCCATGAACTGCTTTTCGATAATTCCATTATACCACTAACATGGGATAAGTCCTGAAATAATAAAGTAAGCATAAATTAAAAAGAAAGGGAAGACAATGTGTGATAAATTTGATAACGTAATATGATATCTTGATATAATATAAGACGACAATGACAATGTGACATGTGACATGACAATCCTGTTGCTATCAAACAAGTTAAGCATGTCCGCTAGCAATCTTTTATCTAACCTCGGAAAATGACTCATATAATGTCGAAGCCAGAACTCGTGCCTCTATAGCTCTATTTACCTGTGTTTGCTCCTTATCAAAAAGTTTCGTTTGCCATTTAGTCCAATCAGTTTGTTCTTTATTCTAAGTAGTGCGTTCTTCATATTATCTTTATAGTTCCCTCTTCTTAGGCATAGATCTCTACACCACATTAATTATCATCTGTTCCCTTTTAATCACTCCATCACCTCTTACAAAAACAACTTTCAAATTTAAAAAATTCAAATTCTTGGCGTTGTGCCAACATTCCAACTGCTATCCCAATTGTCTGTCGCAGCAATTGACTTTTTCAGATCTGCGTGTGGAAGGGTGAGTATTTCACGTGTGGTAACCTGGTGGCCTAAAAGTTTCCTTCACTTTAACCCTTCTGCTCCGACCTTAGAATTTTCGTGGCCTATACTCTAATCATTAGGTCTTGATGGGAATAATGGGATTAGTGCGACAGTCCGAATTGGCCATATTGTCTTTCTGACTATCATCATTTTGAGAGATTAGTTTTAGTTCCATACATTTATGCGAATGCATCATATTTTGCATCAAATTTGTCAGAATTGTAGAAATGTTCGAATTTACTTTTAGTAACAATAATGTCAAATGACAAGAGTATGCAGAGTGTAAAAGATAAGGAAAGTGAGGAAAAGGAGCAGCAACAATCTCAGCGATTTATAGAGGAAACGGAAGGTGGAAGCTCAAGTACAGTGACTGGCGAAGATAAATCTGAAGGGCAGCATAGGAGTATGTTCGGGAAGAGTTTACAGGATTCCTTATCGAACTTCGTTGGTTAGTTTCTCTTTTACCATTACCTTCCACCATGTATGACCTTGTGATTAAGACTTGTCTTATAGTTTTCAGGAACGTTTTATATATTAATTATGTTTGATTGATTTTTTTTAGACTTATGCTTTCTTAACAGACGCTAGATTTGCTTTGAGACTGTAACTGATTCTAGAAGTACGACTAATGAATAAGATACTGTAATATCTGTATTAGTAAATTAAAGAATATTATATGGTAAGAGCTTATTGACTATCTACTTCGCTTTGAAAGGGGTTATGATGAAAATATTTTTTTAGAAGACACTTTTTTGGAAGATGATGTTTTGGCAACTGAGCATGCTTCAAGCAAACAAAGAACGAAGGATATTACATTCGATATAAATGAACTAAAAAAAGAAAAAGTTCGACTGGGTATGTTTGAATTCATTATCATAAATCTCATTCCTAGAGCTTTTTAGCCACAGTGAATAACATAATCTGGTATGATAGCAATAATTTTCTATTTGTGTTTTACAAGCTATTTCTTTCATTATTTCTGTCGTTCTTGATTTTTATTTATAAAATGATGTTATTACCTTAAGTTATGCTAAAAATTTTAAGTTATAATCAAATATTTAATATAAATTATAGAGCACGTTTTATTTCTAACAAACGAAGAATTGGATGCAGTTCGAAATAAACTGTGCCGAGTTAGTGAAGCGGAGAATGTACTGAAAAAGGAAAATGAGGAATTACTGAGGGATAGAAGCCAACGGATGGCCGCCATGCGAGAATTGGAAGCTGAACGTGACCGTATATTACTTGCAAAGGTATTTCAATAGCCAGAAAAAATTTTTATTTTCGTTTCATTTTTCCGATACTCGAGAAACTCTGCTTTGATTTCCGTTTTCATTTTTTGCAACATTTTATACTTTAATCTTGAAAGATGGTATTTCAGAATGAGTGTGAGCAAAAAGCTGAAATGTTGTTTCGTCAAAGAGAGGATTATGAAGGAAAAATTAATCGCTTAAATCATGATAAGTCACTTATTACAAGTAAGTTTTGGGAAATCCTTTCTTACCGGATACTTCGGTTATTGAATTATTATTATTGTTCGTTGTTGGTTAGCAGTTATAGAGTTTGTTTCTTAAATTATTTGAAATTTAAGTAGTTTTGTTTAAAGTTTCAAAAGCAGTAGTAAATTTCTTTTTGCAGATACTGCTCAGAGAGTTGAATCATTATTTATAAGTCATTCAGATTTCTTAATTTACATTGAAATGACACATATATCAAGCTAAGTGTCATTCTAAAATATAGAGAAAATTAGATCTCTTGTTAACAATGATATCAGTCTCAGACAATCTCAGCTTTTGAAAATTAGTGGTCTGTTTATAGGCGATTTGCAAGTGCAGAAAAACGAAGTGAAGAAATTAATAGAAAAGAATGTTTTGCTAGATACTAAACTTGATGAATATGCCAAACAAAAGCGAGTAATTGAGGTTTGTAATTTGTAATGGGAATGAACAGTTATTGACTTTTGCGGTCATGTAATTATATATTGGAGATTAATACATTGATTATTTAAAAGAAGAAATAATTCCATGGTAGTAACTGTTTATACTTGCACCATTAAAATTCGGTTTATTTCAGTATGAAAAAGAGCGTTGGGCTCAAGAAAAAGAAATATATTTGCATAACAAAGATTGGTTTATGAATGAAATTAAGGAGCGTGATCGGAAATTTGCTGTTTTAAGAATTGAAATGGTAAGATAAAGGTTTGATTTTGAGGAGTGTATTTCCTTTGTTTCAGTAATGTTGATGAAGTGGATTGATAGAATATTGATAGGAAAGAAAAAAATTTTTTGTTGATAAGCGGGTTTATGGAATATTCAGCATTTTTGTCAAAAATATATTTAATATTTTATTGAGACACTTAAATATATTGAGTCAAAATAAGATGCTCGTGTGACTTTCATTTCGTATTTGTCGTATTCCGTAATATCATTTTTCGTCTGCGATGACATAAGTTTTGACATACTCACAACTCGAACATACTGTTATTGAGATACTCAAAACTGAACTATTTTTCATAACAGACCCTTACTTGTAACGTAGAGCCCTGGATTTTGATTGTTGTAATAAAATATCGAAACGCAGTTTCTGACTCTGTCTTTAAAAAAAAAATGTATTCAGCACCATTGAAAGTACGTAATATTCTTTCCTAATATTATAAATCAGGACCACTAAGAGTATGTAATATTCTTTCCTGATTTCATAAGTATTCAAAATGATGGCAGTTAACCATTTCTTTTAATTAACATGGTTAACTTAAAAGTTTTGTAGTGAAAAAAAGTAAATAATCAATTGTTTAGGTCATATGATCACAGCGAGTATATCGTTTTAAAATAAAGTTAATGGAAGTTCTAAGTTACGTCATTTTATTGTTTTGTATATGTCATTCATTTTATAAAGTTGAGCTGTAGGTCCGATATACTGGAGAACTGCAAGCAGAAATAGCATCTATTACGGACAAGTACGAATCTGCAATGAGTGATGTTAAGAAACTTACAGCAACACTTGCTGATCGGAACAAGGAAATACCGAGATTGAATGATCGCATTAAAGAGGTGACGGTATCCAAATTTTGGATGTACCCTGGTTTCATAGATTTTATGAAAACACTTTTTACATTTCCTCAGATAATTAAAGTGTGGGTCAGTGATTCATATTTTATAGATCTTAGAAGACAATGCACAAAAGCTGAATAAATTGGAAGAAGAATTGCTAGCAAGTGAACGACTGTGTTCTGTTTACAAAGAGGCCGGTGATGACGCAGAAAATAACTTACGGCAACTTAATGAAGATTTTGAAAATCGTGGAAGATTGCTTGAGGAATCCAAAAAGAGTTCGGATTTTTTAGTTCATATTTCTAAAATATAACTGTTCTTGCACTTAATTACACTATTTATGATTTTAAAGAAATACAACCAGTGTTTTTTTTAAGATGAGTTTTTTAGCTTATGAATCACTGTGCGCTCAGTTTGAAGAAAAGCAAGCGACTTTTGCCAAAGAAATCGTTCAAAAAGGTTAGTTCATATGCGGTTTTCTGTAAATATGGTCTTTGTAATAACTTTAGAATGAGATAATTCTTCCTGTTTGAAAGGTCAGTGCTCAATTTCCGTTATTTTACATATTAGAAATGGTTTTATGACAATTATTATATTGCCCTACTTGGTATAGTTGATAGTTTTCTGCTCTCTAGCATGCATAGTAGTTATCGAATTATTGGTTATTCTCCCTTGTGTTAAAAAGTGAACACAAAATTTTATAGCTAACTTAATATGAATAAGTTGAACAAAGACTGTTACTTAATTAAATTAGTTAATAAGCTTCTCTTATACAAGAAAATATTTTTAGATAAAAAAATTGAAGAGTTATTGGACGAATTGCAGAAAGCCAACGATTTATTGAAATCTAGACATCGTGGTACTTTTTAATGTTATTTTTCCACTTTTTTTTATCGTTGGTCAAACTTTCGAATTTTTTTCAAAAACTTCAAATTTCTTTTATCTTGATAGTTTGTACCAAGTAGGCCAATTTCTAGTTTTTCTTTATAAAATCTTTGTTGCAGTAACATTAACGGATGACGAAATCATGGAGCTGTCTCCGGCAGCTGCTGCAGCGTCATCCTTGATTCGTAGTGGTGTTTCATTGACGAGTATTTATCGAGAACATTGTCGTGTGGTTGCGGAATTAGAAGAGGCAAAAGCGGAAAACAAACGTATCGAAAATTATTTCCATGAATTAGTTGAGGTATTAGTTTTCGATTGGGAAGCAATATGCATTTTCAGACAAATTAGCACGTTCTTAGATTTGCGTCATATCGATTTGCACAAGTAGTTTATTGCATAGTAATTGATTAATAAATGTGTTGCATAAAAATCGTTTAATATTTTGCAGGATATTGAGGCCAAAGCACCACTGCTTGCGCAGCAACGTATAGAATATGAAAAGATGTCGGATTTATGCAACAATTTGCAAGAACAGTTGCAATCAGCAGAACAAGAGCGGCTGAAGCTTGAAAATGCTCGTGATGCTGCTACACGTGAATTGACATACACTCGAGCTGAACTTGAGCGATATCAGCGTGATGTGGAAGATTTGAATAGACAGGTTATCTTGAGTATATTTAGACATGATTTAAGTAGTTTCTCTTTTCTAAGATGTTTGAAATGATTTGGGCTAAATCAATAAGGCTGACATGATACGTCTTCTTGGAAAGATCTGTTTAGAGACGACTTGATGTGCGCTCTGCTAAAGGAGAATTTGTATACTTGTTCGTATCACTGTTTAAGAAATATTGTAAATTCTAATTTCCAAAGGTTCAGTTTTTCTAAATTTTCTCGAGAACTCAAATTCTTTCAGGTTCGCCACTTGCTGCATGCAGCCGAAGTTGAGAGGGCGCGTAACACGGATTCGCCGCCAATGAACGATGAAGACCGCAATATGCTATGGAATTCAATTGGTGAAATGCAGAAAGTAAACCAAAAATTGATGTCAGATTTACGCTCAGCAAACGCTAACCATGATCGCGCGGTAGAGGAAGCTAAAAGTGAAGAGTATGTTGAGCAATAATATTCCTTTTGATTTTTCTGATTTTGTGGTTATATCTACTGTTTCACATTTCAAACTTAGTAAAGTTCTAAATCCAATTTTTAGAATTAATCGACTTACCGATGCTTTGAATGATGCTATCAAGAAGCTAGATTTTCTTAAAGATGAAAATTCAAAACAGAATATGGTGATTGAAGAATTAGAAAAACAACGTGATATATATAAGAAAGTTGGTAACGAAAGAAAAACTTTAGAAGAGGTATAATTTTTTTGTTGATTTTTATTTTCTTTGTTTAAGATGATTACGAGTCAAGTATTCTTCAGATTATCGACATAACAGTTCAGTTCGAAGTATGTGGTCATTTTTCATTAAAGCAGTTTTCTTTTATAGTCTCACACTCTGACCAAACGAATGCAAGAAATCGATTCTGAGAATGCGCTATTGCGAGTGCATTTGGAACGGGCTGAGAAGAGCTTAGATTTATTTCGTGAGGAAAAACATCATTCCGATGAGTTAGTTATCTTATTTTTTTTTCAAGAGAACTGAATTAAATAGCATAACTTCAAGCAAATTTTTACCAAAATTTTTCTATAAATTTGTACACTTTGAAATAAAATAATTTGCTTAAGACTTCTGCAAGCACGAATTGATCAGCAGTTTGCTTTGATTGCTGAATTGCGCAAAACAAACGGGAAATTGGAAGCCGATATAGAAGTACAGAGGCAGACACAATTGATGCTTACAAAACAGGTGAGAAAACTTTCATTGCTGAAAAATAGATGCTAAGGCAACTGTAGAGTATACGTTAACTTGAAGCGCTATTCGGAATCTTAATTCGAGTTCATATTTTGCTGCCAATGGAGATTGATTTCTGATGCCCGGTCATTAGATATCAAAAGAATTACTTGTGCATGTTGTATCTCGCACATAACATTAGAAGAACTTGAATTAGCTATAAAGAAAAATTTGCCTTGCAGATGTTAGATGCTACGTTATGCGCTTTGTTTGCGCGAGAAGCCTGTTTGTTGTAACAAATTTCCTATTAAAAAACGAGCATTGAATCTAATGTGAACCTTAGCGAATACGTGGAAACAATATCTTAATGCAATAAATAGGTTCAGGAATAAAATCGAGTACCATAATAATGAGAATTGCATCTTTATAAACTCTTTTTAGTCAGAAAATGATTCAAACGAATTGAGTTTGGTTCGTGAGAAGCATATCAAAATGGATAACAACTATAAGATGGCCGATGAACGATGCAGGAAGTTGCAGGAAGAGCTCATGGAAACGAAGGGAGAAGTTGCCAAATATAAGTTCGTTTTTTAATTTTTTTATATTCAGGATATAGTTTTCAGTAATATAGTTCACATAGTTTGAAGGTTTATGCCAACAGTCTTTGTTTCAAAATGATCCTTGTATGTTATATTTTGTATGTTTTCAAAAAAGTAAGAGAAATGCAGCTTTTCATTACAGGACTGACGTAGAAGCTCTTATGGAACAAGTATCACTTTTGCGATGCACAAAAGCACGATTACAGCAGGAACTACACATTCTGCGAGAATCAAATTATAGCAACGAAAAAATGTCGTATACGTTGAAGCAATTGGAGGTTATCGTTGAGCTTTTGAATGAAAAAAGAAGGATTACGAAGGGAAAGCGGGTCTTCTGATTTCAGATAACTTTATAATAAGTAAGCATTATCGGAACTTTGTTTTTAGAGTCGTCTACAACATAACGATGAAGAAAAAGTGAAGATTCTCGATGATCAACTGAAACTTGCCAAAAATGAAAATGAGTCTTTGAAAAAGTTTGTTAGCGAAATTTCGGAACAACATCGTTTGATCAGTTTGGACTTAAAGGTTTGATTAATTTGGACTTTGCAATTTTTTGTCTTCAATCGATTCATTAGTAAATGAAAACGGAATGTATTTTCTTTTGAGTTTTGTACGAAGTATAATTGCAGATGACAACGAATAAAATCCAAACGGAACGTGACCAGGCATTGGCGAGCAAGAAATCAGCAGAAGAACGATTGACTTGGAAAGATAAAGAATTAAGTGAATTACAAACAAAATATGATGATTTGATGAATCAGCTAAAAGCGCCAGATGCGTCTCTCGGTAAATTGTTGGATTGAAAGTAAAAAGTAACAATCACTTTCCCATGATCAGTTAAATTTAATATAATATTGTTTGACACTCATGAAGCTTATCTAAGCTTAAATTGTTATTAATGACACATGATCCGCTTATCACTTTCCAGAATCTACTGATGGCGGTTGTAAAAAAGAGGCGCAACAGCTTCGAAATCGTAACAGTTATTTGGAAAATCAACTGAAGGACATGTCCCACAAGCTAGAAGGTTTCTTAATTTTCTTTCAAAAATTGTTAAAAATTATCATATATTTTTGTGAAGCACATGTTGCTGATATTGAGTTAGTGTCATTTATCTCTCAGATTTTCAAAAAGTGTTTTTGTGTTGGAAATGGGGACATTGAAACACTGCTAGTAAAATCAGAAACTTCAAGAAAAACCAAACATTTCTACGGCTTAACTGTGTTTTGCTCATAATTTTTGTAGAAACGGTTTGGAAATTTTTAGCGGAATTCATGGTCGAGCAGTAGATATTATTGTATTATTTGATCGAACTACCGCAAATTAATTGCGGGGTAAAAATAGCTTTTAAAACAGAGTGCTATATGTTTTTTAATTTTTCAGCAAGCGAAAAAATGCTGGCTATACGTGAACGAGAACTTGGTGAAATTAGCAAATTGAGTAATAATATGGAAACAACATTACTGGAGCAGGGAGCAGTAAGTTCACGATTTGTTGTGTTTATTGTTTTAATTATTGTCGTTGGTTAATTATTGTCACACTTTGCACAATACTGCACATTTCCGGAGTTCTTTTTTATAGAGCGCTATTGCGGAGCGAAATAGTCTGCTAGCAATGTTGGATTTGGTAAAAGGACAATTGGCTGAAAGGTTGCTTTATCTGTTTTTTCCGTATAGTTCAAAATATTAAGAAACAAGATATTAATAGATTTCAATTAGAGCTTAACAAGAGTATGAAATTTGAGATGATATTTAGTTATAATAAATTTTTACAACCATTGTATTTTCATACTGTAATAAACATACGAAGATATCGGAAGATCTTAAATGACATCTAAGTAGCGCATGTAGTAATAAACTGAGGTGTCATAGGAAACTAAGATATGTGTTTTTTACGAGTAATCATTCTTTAGTGTGAGAGCAGTGGAAAATCAACGTGCAGAAATTGCTCAGTTGGAGCAAAGATTACAAGAAGGGGCCACTAAAAGAGAGCAGTTGGAGATGGAAAAAATGAAAGAATATCAGGGATTGGAAAAGCGATGCAGTATTTTAGATATAGAGAAAGCTAACGCTGAAGCTCGTATACGTGAGCTGGAATTAGAAAATGCGAAAATTGCTGCTGCAAAAGTTTCGGTATGAAACAAGATTTTCTTAAGTTAAAATTCTTTTACCTATACAGTTTTGACAATTTATTCATTACTTGGGTGTTTTGTATTCGTAATGAACTGAATGTAGAATTATGTTGAAATAATTGGCAGCAGTGTGTAGAAAAGTCTACTGTCGGCACAAGACTGGTATCAGCTGTTTGAATAGTAGAATAGATAAAACAGTGAATAGAGAATATATTATAAAAATTTTTCTTTGCTTAGTTTGACGAAGAAAGAAGTCGAATGAAAGAAGACATCAGCAAACTGGAACAAGCACTTCATGTCAGAGAGACAGAACTTATGAATTTGAAAAATACTACAGTTGAACTTGAGCAAAAATCCGAAGATATAAGGCGAAGCTGTTCATCGGAAGTGGTTTGTAATTCATCAATTCACTTTGCATTCGTTTTTTCATATTTTATAAGTGTAGGAGCCCATTATTACAATGATTTAACTAATTAAAGGACTTTCAGGCTGCCCTTCGTGTTGAAAAAAATCGATTAGAAGAAGAACTTAATTTAGCTAATAAATTAAATGAGGAGCAAAAGCAGAAGCTGGAAGAATTGGGTGATAATTTAATAAAGGTAACTATTTCTACATATCGAAATACATCAGCATATTGAATGAAAAGACTGAAAATATTTATTTTTCTATCCATTTAGTTCAGTTATTTCTGTGGGATTTTTTCTGAAATCAAACAAGTGTAAGATTAGGGTAAGTATTGCGAGTCTTCATCTAACAATAGAAGAGAGTCTGCAAATATAACTTTTGGATTACAGTTATCTTCAATAGCTGGTTGCAGGTAACGGAACGTATGACTATTTTGGAACGTTCTGGAAGTATTTCTACTTCTAGTGAAGATATTGCCGCACCTGCTGGTTCGAAATCAGCTGTTGCATTGTACGAAGTCATCAAATATTTACAAGGAGAAAATCGACAAGTAGCTTGTTTTTTTGTTTTTTGCTAAAATATATGTTTAAAAACTTTGAATCTTCAAAATTCAAGTCATTATTAAATTTTAGTTGATTAATACATTTTATTTAGGCTATGGAGCGAATGATGAATGCTGAACTACAATGGAAGCGTTTGCAAGTTCAACAAGCGACGGCTGACGAATACCGGCTAAAATTGGAAGAAGAAATTCAAAAACTTCGGGCAGAAGCTGAAGTTTGTTTGTTTTGCTATGCTGATTTGTAAATTTCAGTGGATTGCTCCGTTATATACATTTCTAACTTTAATTCATATTTGCTTTTCTAATCGCAATTTTTCACAATGAAAACACAAATTAATTTCGACGTTAATTATTATTAGCGACGAAATTAATAATAAGCATATATGTATATTGAATGTAGCGAAATTTATTCTCGGTCAGCTCTATCGATTGCCTAAACTATTATATTTTCAGGTACATGTTTCGTTCAAATTCAGCTCTATCGATTGCCTAAACTATTATATTTTCAGGTACATGTTCGTTCAATTGCAGAAAAAAGCGAAATGGTAGCACGATTGACGTTAATGGAAGACATGCAAAAGGAAAATCAGAACTTGAAGCTGCAGAACGAAAAATTGATCCGTCGCAGTGAGGAGCTGTCAAAAAATGTAGGAATTCAGTTTTTAGTTACTGAGGACTGATGTGAGTTGGTCATATTTTATTTTTTTCAGGTAAATGATTTGCAAGTACGTATTGCTAATTTAAGCGCAGAAAAAGTTACTGAAAAGGGACGATTGCACAATGTCAATGCAGATTTGCAAACCTGCCGAAAAGAAGTAATGATATTGTTATATACATATATAACAATAGGATTTTTGTTATATGATTTTCAACGGTTTTTCTGTTTTTCGAGCTTATTGTTCAATGGCTTTTTCAGCGACGTTTTCAAGAACTTTGAAATCGGATTCTCATTTTTATTTGTTGATGAACGTCAAATTGTTTTTTTAGCTGGAATCTTGGAAAGAAAGGCATAACCAAGCTCTGATTTCTTTGGGAAAATTTGGACCCGAAAGAGTAGTTGCTTTAAAGTACATTTTTTTCTTTTAACATGTTTTTCTTTCTTGATTACTCTGGTATTTTGATTAAATATTTGAGGTTTTTATCTTTTTACTCATTAAATTTTTTTTTAATTTTAGTAACGAAGTTGAATCACTAAAACGCAGACTAAGCATGATAACAACTGAACGTGATCTACTGAAAAAAGAGATAGAAAAATCTGTTCAAGAATCAACATCTAAGTAAGTTTTTTTATATTAAATGATGATCTTGCGTTATTTCACAGATTTTGCATCTCGCAGTGAATAAAAATTTCATCTTACAATGCTTGACTGATACCATCATCTTAACGGATCTAATTTAAAAAATTTGATGGACGTCAAGATACATCGTATCATATGCATAAATTCCCATGAAACTGGCATCATTTAGTGGCACGTCTTGGGTAGTAATTTATTCGAATTAATTGAATTGGGTTACTCAGAATTTGTATGTTATTGAAAACTACGCTTTAGTAGCATCGAGGTTTTCATACTTCAGATAGTATCAGAATCTTTTGCATTTTAAATAATTTTGTATGGAACTGAATCCATTTTTTTCTTTAATTGCTAATATACATCTTTATAAAACTAAGAATTTTTTTAAGGGAAACTCTAATGGATGTTCAGAAGAAATTTGATGAGAGTGAATCAGAACGACTAAAACTATCAGCAAGATTTGAGCAAGCTAGATTACTTGCACGTCGATACAGGATGAAATCTCAAACGTTGGAAAAAGACGTTGAAGGTTTGAAAGCGATGTTGGCTGAGAAATCAATAGTAGAAGAGGAAAATACCACTGAAACTGCAAAATTAAAGCAAGAATTGCTTACATTACGCGCTGAGATTGAAAAGCAGAAGCAGCAGGTAGTGATTTTTCTATGCAATTGGCTGCATAATTGTTTTATGAAATTTTCACTTTTTGACCCATCTCATGTGATCAAGCTCTATTGTAGCATTCCTTCATTGATCATTAATCATTAATATGAACCATTTTATGAATTTTTTTCAGAAAGTGATACCTCGAACTGGTTGGCCAATTGATGTGGGAACTAGCGGTGCACAACCAACGAAAGCAAGCGCAATCCTTCAAACACAACTGAAACAATTAGAAGGACTCAATCAGCAAAATAAGGTTGGAATTTATTGCTTTTTTCCAATTTAGAAATTAATACGAGTTTAGCTTGAATTATTGTTCGTTCATTACTTATTTGTAGTTGCCTATCTAGATTATACGATCAGTTCGATGATTGCCAATTGTTGTAACTGGATAAAATATATGAGACATTTCAAGAAAGGCTTAGTTATGATCTTCTGACCTATGATTTACTATATGCTTTGATTTAATTGTCGTTAATTCAAATAATTCGAATTTTCTAACCGTTAGCTATACTTTTTTAATAATCCATTTATTAGTCTTTTAGCTTTTGGTGATATTTCATCTTATATTTTTGATGCTTCCTGCTCTTGTCTTCTTAACATTTAAGTTGTCATGGATTGCCTGCTAAATATTTTTTTGCATCAATACTTTTTAATCAGTTGTAGATTAGACTGGTTTTAGGATTTGTCCAAGCAATTGGAAGAGTCTGCTGAAAGGTATAAGGTAGCGCAGGCAAAACTGAGCGAGGCTGAAGCGAAATTTCGAGAATTGAAAACAGAAAGTGATACAAAAGGTTCGTATTTTTCGAGAATCTAATAAATATTTCTTTTTCCGGTAATTTTGGTATCATGCTGAATTTTATATTTTAATCTTGAGAAGCCTTATTTTATGACTTATTGTGTGGTGTTTTATTTTCAATTTTTAAAAAAATTTTACAGAGGAGCTACGTTTTCGATTAAATTCGATCACAAGTATGTTAACCAAGAAAGAGCAAGAAGTAGCTCGACTGAGAGAAGAACTTGAAACAGCTAAACAATCGGACGAAGCCTATCAAGGGAAAATAAAACTACTGGAGGCTGCATTGGACACATGTCGTAAAGAAGTCAGCAATCGTCCTGGTTTTTTCGGCTCGGGATTTGTTAAACCCGTCAGGTAATTTTTTCCTCTTTCTTTACGATATTCCGATTTTTATTTGTAACAGTTCCTGTTTGTTTATTGATGTGCTTGCTTAACTCGAGACACTCCATGAACTTTTTCTGCTGAAATTGCGAACGTCGTTTTTCGTCGCTGAATCAGTCATCTTAGTAGAGGTTTCCTAGCACATGTTTCACATGTATCAGTTATTTATTTTATTAGTTATTTTGTAATGTAAATCTAGTTTTTCACCATAGGGCTCAACTTGGATCTAGTAATTGCTTAATTCAAAACAGAGTTATATAATAACTACGACTTTGTTAAATTTTTAAATAATTTGAATCTTTTAGTTCCTCCACATCTGTGATTTCTCAGAGTCAAAGCCCTCCTATTGCTGCGCTCCTCGTTACCAGTGCAGCTGGAATGGATTTTCCTCCTTTGTCCAAAGAAGGTAGAATGTTATATTCACAAGTATGCTTAACTTCGAAAATTTTAGAAGTATTTCATGATACATAGCGTCATTTACCGGAAAGGAATCCGAATAGATTATGGCGAAATGTCATCATTTTTACTTGTTTTAGAATTTTTGTAGATTTATTACGGTAAGGAAACTATTTTTTCCACTTTTGCTATTATTTCACTATGCAAATGATTATATCAAGTTTATTTCAGAAACACCAACTACTTCGCGCTCACCACTTGTTAAACCTGCTGCAACGATAGATGCTACGCAGATTGAGAAATATGAAGATACGAAACAGGAAGTAACAGTAGTTGGAAGCATTGAGGAACAAGAAGCATATCGAAGTACACCTGTGTCAACCACTAGCGAACAAGTATTATCAGTTTTCACATATATGTATATATCCATGTATCAAAATATTAGGATATCTCTCTCTTTAATACATTAGAAAAAATGAAAAAAAAAATTAGTATTCAAGATACCTTTACGGTTTTTACATCACCTGAAATCAAATCACTGCTTTGTTGAATATAATTAGCCATTGACTTCTTCAAGTATCTCTTTAGTCCTTTTGATTCATTCGCTATTTAGGTTGTCACTCAGGCACATATATATTTTTTTAAATTTTAAATTAAGTGAATGTCGAAATATTTTGCAGAGTAACAAAATACTTTGCAGAGTAACACAGTGAGCCAGTCCTCTTCTGGTGATATTATGCAAGTACGATTGCAACAGCATAATGGTTAGTTTGCAAGTTTTCTGATTAAAATGATGTTCAACTTCTTCAATTTTACAATATAGAAAGGACTGCTCCAACAAGGTAGGGCCTGGAAAAGTTTTGTTTCCGCCATGTAATGCATGTAATGCATCAGTTCTTAGAACCATATGATGTTGAATGATGACTTTCAGTCTAAGATTTCATTACATTGGTACAATTTGATAATTATTTGTAAATGATTTACAGAATTTGACGCAATATTCTTTGTAGTTACTTCTGGAAATGGTGATGGAGCGAATATCATCACAAGCAGTGTAGCAAGTGGTGAGGTGCCAATTACAATACAAGGAGTCATGCCGCAGATAGGACCACAGTCGATTTCGATGACCCGCAATGAAAATGAATCGTCAAGAAAGCGAGCATGCATACCGTCAAGGTTGCTCATCGTTTTTATATTATCTCCGAAATTTTCCTCATTTCATTTGTTTCATTTATAATTTTCAGCGATCAAATTGAAACTGGATCGGATGTTTTGGAACCTCGAAAGCGTTATCGAGGAAGTCCTATGGGTCAGGTATGATATTTCTTATTCCTGCGCAAAATTTTATAAATGCTTATTTCCAACTTTTGAAGGTTTGATGTATTGAGAATTTCTATAATGAAGTATTAGAAAAAATGGGAAAGGATGTCAACTATTCTCTAACTTTATATTTAAACAAAAACTAGTTTTCTGAACTTTTAAGGTCTCCACAAGTGGTCGTTTCATGAAGGGAATTGAATCACGAGTTGACATCGAGCAGCATGGTACAGATGAAGCTGAACACGAACAGCAAGAAAGTGGTTAGTTTAGTGGACAAAATGAAACTTTTTTAATATGAGCTATTACTGTTAGTATCAATTAAATGAATGTTATAATTGACATTTAATTATTTTCAACAGTCGAAACAACTACAAGTCCTGAAGGCGATCGATCAGACGGCATGAAAACAAATGAAGCAGAGAAAAATACTAAATCGGCGATTGAAGTCGAGGTTTTTTTTTCTTCCAAATTTTTTAATTTTGATCTTTTATTTTGACTGGTTCAAATATAGTTTAATTACAATTCATTTTCAACGCTTTTTGATATGCTTCACATTGTATAAAATTCATAATCAGCGCTGTATTTTCTTGCTGATTAACCTCAAGAATTCCATTAATTTTGCAGGAAGTGAGTGCGGATATCAGTTACGAAATGGTTGGTGAAGGAGTAGCACAAGAAGAAAAGCATGATGAGGATGAACAAATTGAGGACAATGATCAAAATATTGTAATGGGTGAAGATATTAGACGGGAAGCCTCAGCAGATGAAGATAATCTTAGTGATGAAGAGGTTGGTGGAAAAATTAATTTCATATTATTCGATTTAAATTGACAAAATCTGCTTGATACTTTCTCACTAATAAGAAAATTGATTTTGTTGCAGTTGATTTCAATCTAATGGAAAGATTTGAAGATTTTCTGATATAAGGTTTTTGTTTTTGATATTTATAAGTCTTGTTATTACCTTCAAATTTTTTAGGGTGATGAAATGTTAGAAGAGATGGAGGATGAGGAATTTGATGAAGAGGAGCCGGATGAAGAGGGTGAATTCGAATTGCCTCCTCATTATAGGAGATCTGATTACTGTGCTGCCCGAGTTAGTTATTGTTAAAAGCTTAAAGCATTCAAGATTGGCTGATTTTTCTTGTTTTAAGCCTTGTAGTTTTCTAACTTTCTAATGCTTTTCGAAGCTGTTTCTGTCTCGCGCTCTTTTAAGGCACATCTGTGGGTATGCCACATTGTGCATAAATATGTCACTCTGGAAGTATGAAATTTTGGCATATATATTAGATACGGGGTATTAATATTCTTTGCAGTGATTTTTTTAGATTTACACGATGTTCATATGTCATTAACTTATCACTTTCTACGTGATATACATAAAATTGATCTTATTGTTTTCTGAGTTTAACAAATTTTAAATTTTTACAGGAATCAGGAAATAATGGTGATGAGGATGACGGTGTTATTTTGATCGATGATGATGATGATGGTGAAGTAGAGCATTCACGCTCTCCAGCAGATCTTTCTACGGATGAAGCACATGGTGAGGATCGTAAACGTTCAATTATTGTTGACGGTGATGTGGAAACGAGTACTGCTGAAGCTCGTGAACGGCAAAACATTCAAGGTTCGCTCAATTCGTTTAAAATTTGTGTATTTCTGCGTTTAAATTTACAGTTACTGAAATTGTAGAAATAATCAACCAAATTATTCATTTTCTTTTGTTTGGGCATCTATGCTATTTATTTTTTTGTGTTAAATGATACCTGTCATATATTAGGCGAATCCACTCGACGCATGGAACTCAGATTGGAAGCTGCTGCAGGACAGTCCGGTGCTATCTTGCATATGGATTCATCAACATCACAGGTTTTTAGTGCAGATCATATGGATGAAAGTGATACAAGTCGCTCTGAGTAAGAATTTCTTATTTCAAAATTTGTTAAAATTCGTCCATGGCTTGTACTAAAAACATAGTGAATTGTCTGGTTATCGTACATTGAAGAGCTTTTCATCTTTTAGAGTTTTCGGATGTGAAATCAAAGTCGGAGCCTTAAATTAACTAATCTCTTATTGACTTTCATCGAAGGATATTTGATTTGATCACTTTTACGATCTGAAACTTTTGTAACTTCTATCGATTTTTTCAAACGTCTGTTTTTCCTTATTTTAGACACTGTAATTCGGAGGCTCTTTATTTACCATCTGCAGAACTTGATTTACGACCCCATTCAGTGGATATGGCTTTGCAAGAAGGTGGTGATGGTAAGATGTTGAAATTGAATAAATCTAAATTTTGCGCGAAAAAAATTTAATAGAATTTTAACTGTGTAGAAACAAATAATCCTGTTCATTTAGTTGTTTCCGGTTCAGAATTGCATGTGGTACGTGATTCACCGCCGCTTATCGGTATGTATATTCATGTTCATTTTATATCAGTATGTAGTTTTTTTGGGACCAATATTTTGGCATTAATATTTTTTTGAAATTAATCGATCATTACAATCATTTTATTTACAAAATATAATCTTAAGATATTTTTATTACTAATGTAGAAATTGTTAATTAGCTCTGCTCATATGCTTTCTATAAACTAATATTTATAGAAAACATTGAATCTGATAGTCGTGGCGCATCCAGTACAGTTGCTCCGATAACAGGTACAGACGTTGATAGTGGTGAGAGTGAACATGCACTGATGATTGAAGAAGGTGGGAATGATGTGGCTGAAGAGGAGCAAGTAGACAGGCACGCTACACAGACAGACGATGAAGCAGCATCTTCGGGACCAAGTACATCGGACGCGTCAGCAACGAGACGTATTAGAATACGATACCCTGATATAACGGAACCCACTTCAAGCAGGTAATGCAATTCTTAAGCATGAGGAGGTAAGTTGCTTTGTGGATATTGCAGTACCGTGAGAATTATTTGACGTGATTGCAAACATGTTTAGAAGTCGGACTATCAAGTACAGGAAAATTAGAAGTTTAGTATGACATAGCACCAGCGACTTTTTGTAATTTTGTGGTCGTTTATTCATTTAGTTTCAATTATATGTATTTTTGCGGTAAGCTAAATGATCCAACAATTATTTATTATGTGATTTCTTTGGTGATGAAATGTTTTAGCAGATTCAAGCAACTACTAGGATGTGTCACGAAATAACGTTGACAAAAAATAATGATTTTTAGCAGCGATGCAACTCATCAAACGTCTGTGCAACGTGGGGGACGTGCCACGCTGTCACGTGGACGTGGATATCGTATGTAATGAAACTGGTGTGAACTTAAAATGTGTTTTTTCTCAAAATTAAATTTCTAAGTTATTGATATTTTTCAAACATATATCCATGACTCTTTCTAAAATCCATGTTATTATGTCGCTTATACACAGAAGAATTAATTTCCCACCTCTTTTCTCCAATAAACCTTTTAGTCCAAAATTTGGCTTCCTTTTATTTTTCTAATTCAAAAATTTTTTAAATCAAAGTGGTTGCAGTTTTTTGCATAAGTTTGGTTGTAAATATATGTTTTAAAAAAGCGAAAATGATTTTTGATGATTGCTTAGGGATACTTTCTTATGGATGTATGCCTTTATAAAATTTATTCCCATGAATTTATGAAAGCGAAAAGTGTTTAAAATGCGGGCTTAGTTTTCTATTAACCTGTAAATAAATATGCTCTTACACAATTTCCTTTTTTTTGAATTCCATGAGAATAAGCTGTGCATTTTGCCAGTTCTTTCGTTTGTAGACTGTTGTCCTGACCATTATGTCGTTCAGTTTTATTTTCTGTCAGAAGTAAAATTTATGTTACTTTCGTAGTATTTTATTATTTTATGCTCCGAACAAAGATCAATAATGAACTATTCGTAAGTCTTCCGACGTTTGAAACAACAAGGGATATGAAAGCTTTTTTTACTCAATTTTATTACCCGAGTTCTTGGTCGTGGATATCTTATTCAAAATTATGAACGACTGTCGCAATATCTTTTGCGAATATATTGGATTACCTTTTGCTTAGACTAAACCTGTTATTGATTTAGAACCCTGGAGTAATGCTTGGGATGTAGAGAGTCAGAAGAATTTTACAGAAAAGATTCAGAAGTAGATCGGTGTTGGAGTGTTAGTACGTGATTAATTAATTATAGTGAATGGTCATAGTGGTTAGTTAATCAATTAGGAGGCATATGGTTCTTTTTTTGCAAAAAAAGGGTGTGTGTTTGAAATTCAACCTGATATACATCTAAAATCCGAACTTCTGGGTATCGAAATTCCAATATTCTATTGACCAATATTTTCCAGTCACTTTTAATTAACCACTGTTATGCTGCTTACTAATGAAAAAATCTGACGAAATTTCGTCATTGACCAATCATCGAAATGAATTTTTGGTTTGTTCATGAAAACCTGTTCTCTCAAAAAAGGCAAAATCTATTTTTAATGAAACAATGCGATGGTAACTGATGTGGAAATACAACTTGGCATTAGTATCCTGCAAAATAAAACCGTTGTAAATCATAAGATTTAATAACTCATCAAACTGTAAGAAGTGGATAATCACAATGCTACTGCTTAATAATCTGTTCGCAACAACCGTCTGATATAATTTTGACTTTTTCTCGTATTTTCTTTCCAATAGAGCTATTTGATATGTGTACCAGAAAAAGCAGTATTAGTGGATATTTTATTTCCTAAATAATTATGAAATTCATGATGTTGCGAGGAAGAGAGGAAAGAAAAAAAGAAAAAAAATGAAACTTACAATTCCTCTGAGTGTTACGAAATAGTTTGAAGCTGCTAGCATTTATGAACATTTTGTCAGAAATGACAAGTTATTTACCGATTTCGTACATTTGCGCAGACACGTTGAAAAACACGATAGAAATTAATGTAATAATTCTAATAATTAAAGTAATTATTTTGATGTTTAGCGCATCAAAATCATTTCAGTGGCGGATGCTTTTTTGAGAGGGTTTTGAAATGGCATATAAATTTTTTAATTTTGCAATGTAAACACATTTAATGAATCGAAAAGAAGAAGGTAAAATAACATTTATTCATTGAAAAGTGAATTAAAAAAATTCATTTCTATATTTCTCATAAAAAACCGAAGAAAAGGTTTACTCTTCTTTTTTTGGCTTCTCGCCTCTCTTTTTGCTGGTAAACACCGTAATTATTCATAATTTTTATACGAAATCGGTCCTGAATGTTAAAAATAAAATTCTATTCGGAAATCACTTATTTACCAAGACGAAATTTTTTTCTGGTAAAATTTTTTTCTGCGCATTTTTACTTCTTTGTAGCTAGAATTTTTTATTAATTGTTACCTTTTTTCTTCCTTTCCTTTTCGAAACTATTCTTTTCATAGTATTAAGAAGAAAAATATTAAGAAATAGTTAGAAAAATTTATCCACTTTTTTCCTAATATACTTCTGATGACTCATAAATTACTGACCTATATTTTTATCTTTTCAAAGCACTTATTCTATTTTCTTTTCATTCAACTGCATATTGTGTTAATTAGTGGATGTCGTTCTAAGTGAAATAAGAAAAAAGGATATTAAAGTTATTGGCTCCTTTTTCTCTTCAATAAAGAAACCAACTGGTTAAATTTATTTATTAATTTATCAAAATGAAATAATCAATTGTGGCAATTAAAATAAATTAACGAAAACGAATGTATATTGCTACTGAAATAAGAGTATTTCGGATAGCATATTAAAAATGAAAGACAAACTTATCTTATAACTTCATAAAATATAATTATGAATTAATCATACATGTGTATATGTGAAATGACAGGTTAAAGTGAAAATTTTGAAATAATAAACACTTCAATTCGAAATTTACTGTTTGCAAAAGAATAGAGAGTTGAGAAGTTGAACTGCATAATAGACGCATATTATCCAGGTTGCTTTTCGAATTTTTACGTTTCTTATTCATTTGTTCTCCCATTCCTACTATTACGTTGATTATCTTTTTTCATGCAAACATTAAAAATTCCTTCGGAACACACACACACACACACACACACACACACACACAC